CCTGCTGAATAATTATCAGGCCTCGTTCGTTTCACAGATTTAAGTTTGTAATTCAAACTGAGATGTAATATTTTTTGAGAATTTTTAATTATAAAATCTTAAAATTAAAAATTTAAATTGATGAAATGAACGAGGCGTTGTGCTAGGCAAACTTCATTCAGAGTTCAGACTATTTATTTTCTAACATTTCCTTTGGTTTTCGCACTTGCAGGTTGAAGAAAGCTAATAGGTCCATAAAAGAGTTAGAAGTAGATGGATTAGGCTCATTGGCTTTGTAGGAAGACAATGGATCACATATTAGATTCTAACACACTGCAATTGGCAGAGAAAAAGTTTTTATTTTAGCTATATTTTCGGCAAGTTTTTCAGTGATTGCCCAGAGTCTCCGTTTTAGCTAATAAGGTCCCACAAGGAACATTACTTTTATTTGGTTACTATATTGCCATATTTCTTTTTCGATTTCAATACAACTTTTCACTCAGGTTCATGCTTTGCTTATTGTAGGGTTATGATTTTATTTCCCAACTAGCACTGAAATGATGAGCAAAAAAAAAAAAAAAAAAAAAAAAAAATCGACAGTGAGCAATTAGTTCAAATTACGAAAGCTTTTTACTAAAGTCTAAACCTTGACATGTGACAATGTACGACCATTCTTAATTTTTTGATATATTATTATTATTATTTTTTGTTTGGAGAAGCAAGATGAATCGGCGTACTGAAAAATTTTAGAAGTCTTCACATCTTACGACGAGAGTATATGTATCTGGACTTTTATTCTTTATTTTTAATTAAATATCTTTTGACTAATATAATTAATTAATTAATTAAAAATGATATTAATTAAGAGTAGGGAGTGAAAATCTAGACTCATACACTCTAAAAGGTAATTGTCTCTTTTCCCTTTTATTTTATTTTGTTTTAAGAGAAAGCGACACTAAAAATAAAACGACAGCGACCTAAAACCAACAACGAGATCAAAACGACAAGAAAACGGAACAGTGACCATGGTATAATAACAACCGCAACATCTGAAAACATACAGAATAATTAAAACCAGTAAAAGTTATGTGAAAAGCAGTCAGACTAAGCTTTCATAGCTCAGTTGGTTAGAGCACCCGTTTAGTAAGCGGGAGGTCTTGAGTTCGACTCTCAATGAAAGCACGAACGCTGTACGTATTCTTACAACAATTTTCTTTTTTTTTAGGCGCAAAGATAATTAGTTAAAACCCTAATTTTGGCTGCGTAAATAGGTCAAAAGCACCTGGCAGCAATCCAGCTGCGTGAGAAAACTCAAATCAGGCCGTGGGATTTGCATCCAACCGTCCAACACAAAGAGCTCAATCTATAAATAAAACCTTCCCTTACCATGTTATGCGTCTCTAGGGTTTATGTTTGAGGGCTATCCTTCGCTGTTAGGGCTGAGAGGTTGAGATTTTGGGTTTATCAGCAAATCCTGCAAAACTCTGTTTCTATAATTTAGGATTTTTCGATTTCTGCTTTCCAAAGCCTTTTCCCCCTTCTCCTGGAGAATCTCTAGGTTTCGATTCTGCGATCCCTTTAGTGCTTTTTATCGATTTCTATTCGATCTTTGCAATGGCGGTCGATTAGTACTTAATCTTCCGTCCTAACCCGTTAATTTTGTTTTTCATGTTTGTTAAAAAATTCGATCTTTGTTTTATTTTTATTTTTTTTTAAAAAGCTCGTTGCTTTTGGTGTGTTTTCCCATATTTTGCAATTTGTTTGATGTCTGGTTATTTGATTATTCAGGTCTAATCTGTATTTAATCTCTTATCGGGGCATTTGACTGGGAATGTCCAAAAAATTGAATCTTGATTTGAAAAGCTTGTTTCTTTTGGTGTTTTAGTATGATTTGTGTTTGATAATTTAGCTGTGAATTCGTCGTCTTTTTTGATTAATTTGACGGGTATTTTCACCGGGAAATCCCATACTAAATGGGAGCAAACTTATTTTGATGTTTGTATAGTGCCCAAGTAAACGTTATTTATTAAACCGCTTTGAGGATTCTTTTTCCGCTTGTGACTCATATTCCATCACCTACGGGGAGCGGCCTTTGCCGCCATTACCTGTAAGGTCTGGCCATGAGGTCCCCAGGGGCGAGCATACATTTTTCCGGGACTGAATTTGCAATCCTCATGCATTTTCTTGTTTCTAGTACTTTGTGTCGTTTTTTATTTGGTAATGTTGTTTGCTAGTTCGTACCTATGATGATATCAGTTATCAAATACCATCTTTCGGGACTGATACGGCATTTTATGCCTTGATGTTATTCTGCAATTCTGAGGTAGGATCCCATTTATTTCCTTGTTGTAGTGGATAAAGTCAATTGAATTAAATTAATTAGAAGTAGACAAAATTGAGAATGTGAGTTACACTTTTTTAAACATTTTGCATGAAATTTAGAATTAGGAAATTGAGGGGGCGGCTCTAATATCATGAGTTTCTTTTATCTAAATCCTGATTGGTAATTTAGTTGTATTGTGTCTTTATGTTTAATTTGATTGGGGATTTCTGCGAGGAAATCCCTTTCTAATTATGCATTATTTTTTATCTTCGGTTGTTACTAGCGCCTAATGCCTGTGATGAAATCTTTTACAAAAATACCATCTTTCGGGACTGAATGGCCTTCTTGGCCTTGCTGTTATTCTGCAATTCTGAGGCATTTTCTTTGATCGACAATGTTTACTCATTTCTCCAAACGCTGATATTTGTCACCAAATACAATCTTTTGCTGTAGACAATGTCACTGATTGTGGTCACCGTCCTGCTGATGTTGTTACCTTTGCTGTTGTGACCTTTGCGAATTCTTATATCTTCAGATTTTGGTTCTCGGGGTCTTAAATGATAGAAAGGGGGTTCATGTAGTTCTAATTTCTTGGTGATAGAAAGGGAGCTTGCCACATCATGCAGAGGAGTTGTGTTGCGAAAAACCAGAGCCCAAGGGAAATGCCATGAGGTTTTGCTTTTACAAACTCAGTTGGCTTCTCATGGCGTGGCAGTCAGAAGTGGTATAAGTTAATTAATCTTTCTGCCAAAAAAAAAAGAAAGAGGAAAGATCACACTTTTTTAATCTTTGCAATTTAAAGTTCAATTTCTTTGAGCAATTTCAGATTAGCTAGAAACAGTTGATGTTAAAACATGTGTTACAATATTTATGATTAGGATATCAAAATAAAAATGAAACAGAGTGCCATGACGAATTTTCACAATCGTTGACTGAATTGTTCATAAGTTCTGGGGCTTGAGTTTTTCAAGGGCCTCGAGTTCTTGCTAAGCTTCGTTGGAAGCATGCGAGTGGAAAGAAGTCTTTTGGTTCGGAGGCTTGTTATAGTCCCGGACAAAGCCAGGCGATGTCCTCATCATTGACTTCGCTGCGCGTGGTGCTGCTGATTTGTTGCTTATTGCTGGGTAATGCGTCCTTTCTAAAGCTTTCTTCACAAGGATTGGTAGATTCCACCAAAGTCTGGTGAACGGTGATTTACCTCATTGGACCTTTGCTGTTAAGTTTTTTGATGCTATAGATCTGCTGAGTGAGCTCCATGGGGCAGATTTATGGTTTTTTTTTTTTTTTTTTTTCCTCTCTAATATATAGTGATATGAGTGCTGTTATCTGTCATTGCTAAATAGAGCACCTAAGGCTTGCGTTTTTGGTATTTTCTATGTAACACGAATTTTTATAATTATGGAAAAAAGAATTTGAGCTTATTGTAAAATATAATGGCCATGAAACTTAAAAGCACATTATAAAAATATAATGGCAAAAAGAATAATTTCATTTAAACAGAAAATCTACCAACCTCACAGGATTATAAACAACAAACATGTATGATGTAACATTTAAACTAGAGTAAAAGTGATGGTAAATGACGAGCAGCTTTAAGTTGAGGCCTCATGCTTTTCAACGAGCAGGCCCCTAGCGAGCAGCGCGGCTCTGGTTGCGAGCTGTTGATCAGCTTTGTTCTGAGGCCTTGGGAGTGACCCGTTCATTGAGCAGGCTTCGGCTAGAGCGTATGGATTTGAATTTTTTTCTTTTATTATTGAATAATACTCTATTAGTATTTTAGTTATGAGAGACAAAAAAAAAATATTAGTTAAGAGTGAGGGTAAAAGTTAGGATTTATGCACTTTAAGGGATATTTGTCTCTTTTCTTTCTGTTTTTAGGTTGTTGCATGCTATCCTTTTGTAAAGTTATAAATTCATACAAATAAAGACAACATTTAGGGTCCGTTTAGTCCGTTGATTCGAATTTTTAATTCGAGTTGAGATGTGATTTTTGTGAGAGCTTTTTACTGTAATAAAAAAGTTAGATGTGATTATTTGTAAGAGCTTTTTATTGTAACAAAACTCGAATTCTAAACTCGAATCAACGAAATGAACGGGGCCTTAAAGTTTACAATATAATTTAAAAATAGCAAATGTCTAGAGATAGCCATCCAAAGTTTTGATACAAACCAACAATCAAATTAGGAAGTCACAGGTACACAAACAAAAGTTCACCAACCAAATTCTCTTCACCTTTAAAGTTCACCAGCCAACACATGTTTTAATACAAACTAACCCCAAAAAAAAAAAAAAGAACTTCATAAGAAAATACAAGTTTAGTTATTTGATATGAAATGGCGTGTTTTATTTGTGTGGGAACTTACTTTATGACCAATAAAAAAACTTTTATTAAAAAATATTTTGAAAAATAAAATTCTTTTCACCTTTAAAGTTCACCAGCCAACAAATGTTTTGATACAAACTAACCCAAAAAAAAAAAAAAAAAAAAACAAGACTTTATAAGAAAATACAAATTTAGTTATTTGATATGAAATGGTGTGATTTATTTGTGTGGGAACTTACTTTATGACCAATAAAAAAAAATTTATTAAAAAAATTTTGAAAAATAAAAGTTCTATAGGTATATTTTTGTGCGGCTTGTGAAGTTTTAGATATAAAAATCGTTACCCAAATCATCCGTCAAAATGACTGTAAAAACGTCTCATTAATCCAAAATTAGCTAACAATTTAACTTGGATCGGTCGGTTTTGTGCTTTGAGGGTTTTCCTAACACGCCTAATCATGAATAGGATCTTTGTGTGCTTGCTAATAGGGCTTCCTACAAGAGCTGGAAGTTTATAACAATATCATCGCCGGTCATTTAATACTCCTTATTGACGGTATTTTTTCGACAACTCGTAATTACCTCTTCGGGAATTCTTACAGTAACACTCACGGGTTAATTAGAGATTAAAACAATGAAATAATGTAAAGAAGACAATGATTTATAGTGGTTCGGCAAGATTTCTTGGCCTAGTTCACTTATGGATGCACTAATCTTTTTGAGATTACAAGTTCTTTCTTCTAAAATGGAATAGTGCGTAATCCTTCAATGAGTTTTTTGGCTCTATTTATAGGCCTTTACATATAATGATTTCATCTGCATTCCCCAAGGGAGCAATCTTCTATCCCGGGATTTAGGGGTAGCATAGGTGCATTTTCATGATGACAATCTCAGGAAATCAGGCCAACCTCTCCTACCGACTACCTGACTTCCTGGCTGCGACAATAGCAGTTGACACAGTGCATCCTTCCCTGAGTTGACAAGATTGTTGATGGATTTGACTGGACATGCTGCCTCGACGTAATGACCACTGCAAGTCGAGTCATGGTGCTCAACGCGCATCGCCCGGCACGGGCTCTCGACGTCCAAAGGGCACTTTAGCTACAGCGGTTTCCTCGATGTCAGTGACCGATTTCCAATGGGGAGTCCTTGGCGCTTGTCATTCGAGAGAATGGTCGATTGCTTAATCATGGTGTAACACTCCTTAAATTAAATTGACTTAGAATAAACCGTAGCTTCGTAGCTCCCATGTTGATAGCGTAGAATATTAATTTTAACTACTAAAAATTGAGGTAAAATAATTGGAGTCGATAAATTTGTGTGGTTAATCCATCTTTCACCTTCATTTCAATGTAATAACTAATCAAGTATATATAGTAAGTTTTACATGCTTATTATCGGCCATTTAGTGAGATGGTAAGATTGCTCATTTTACTCGATCAATTCTTGAGTTTGAGCTTTAGTTTCATACTCAACAATATGTAATTTGATTTTTTCATAGAACTTTTATATTGGTTATTTTATTTTTTTTTTAAGAGTTTCTGTCATTAAAGATCGAGGCTACATTTGATAAAGTTCATTTATTTTAGAACGAGTATGAGAAATTGTTTCTTATGTTTATCTACATATATATATATATATCATAAGCCAATTAAGGGATCTTATTTTCTCAAACTATTTCAAAAATTGAGCTCTTGCTGCTGGTTTTAAATTTTATATATTAATCTATAAAAAAAAAAAAAAAAACTAATTACTTCGTTTCTTTTAGAAAATATTATAGTTTTTCCTTCTGTTATTTAGATAGCATTTGATGGAATGGAAGATATATATTTGAAGAAGGAAGAAGTTAACTATTATTTGCAGATGATGCAAAATAGTGAAGATAATATAAGATGGAGCAAACCCCGGATATGGTTAGGAAGACTGGGTAGGCTTATCAGCCATAATTTGAATTCTTAATCATAAATAAAACTCTATCCGAAATTTGTGGGTGGACTCGTGATTCAAGGAAATGGTAGAAAATAGGCCAATATGAAAACCTTAAGAAAATATATATATTAATTTTTAGTTATAAAAATTAATAGGCCATAACTTGTTAAGTTATAGTTTATAATCAGACAAGTTATAGACAAATTTATTAAATTATGATTTATAACCAGATAAATTATGGATAAAAATAATAATTTTACCTATTTATTAACTTACGTAAACAATTGACATATTACATATTTTCTTATTTCTCCCGTGATTCAATTGCATGCCAGACGCGGCACAGGTGACTCTAGTGGGTGTGAAAAAAAACGTGTTAAGTGCCTTGTTCCATGTGGACTTTTTAATTGCATGCATAGCTATGCATGGATAATATCCGTACACATGCTCCGTTTTTTTTTTTTTTTTTTTTTTTTTTTTTTTTTGGTTTCCCTTTTCCTTTTTTTTTTTTTTTTTTTTTTTTTTTTTTTTCATGGATTCACATTTCCCTTTTTTTTTTTTTTGTTTTATTCGAAAAGGAAGGTAAAAAGTATGTATATCCATTATCCCTTGTGATAATTCTAGTAACACATAAAAAAGGGTACCGCACAATTTCGAAATGATTAATATCTCGATTTTTTTTTAAATGAATAATATCTCGAGTATGTATATCCATTATCCTTTGTGATAATTCTAGTAACAGATAAAAAGGGGTACCGCACAATTTCGAAACGATTAATATCTCGATTTTCTTTTTAATGAATAATATCTCGAGTTTTAGATCAAAGATTCGTTAATATCCTAGTCAAATTACGGTTTAATTATTTTTTAAGCATAAATAATCATACGTATATCTTCTTTTTTTAGTTTTTAACACATTTATCACCTAAACTTGTCTTAATTTAGCAAATTACCTCCTAAACTTTTAATTTTAACAAATTGCCTCCTTAATTTGTAAAGTTGTCATAATATGTCATATTTTTATGACGATTGTGTTAAATTAACATTAAAAAAAACACATTCAGTCAAAAATTTCAACAGTCTAATTCAAATGCAACACAAATCTTTCAATATCTCAACTTTTAATCTCTCAAATGTAATAAAAAAATTTGAGCAAATTTAGTTAAATGTCACATTACAACAAATTTATAAGTTTGGAAAATAACTTGCCAAAATTAAAAATTTGTGAGAACAAGTTTAGAGGCTAATTGTGCCAAACCCCCTTTTTTTTTCCTACGCTTTTTTTTCTTTTATACAGATGTGTCCTACTTTACGTTTAAAAGGAGAAAGAAAATCATAGTTTTGTGTTCTTTTAGGGGGGAAAAATGCTAGTTAGGGAAAATCAGTTTATATAGCTAATAATCTATCCCCTACCATTTCGAACGGAACTTTGAAACTTTTTCTTTTCAATTTTTGAGAAAAAACCCTTTAAATTTTTTATGGATGATAAACCAAATAATAATCTCCCTTTGAAATTTAAAAAAAAAAAAAAAAAAATCTCCCTTCAAAAGTTATTAAAGGAAAACTGCGTAATAATCTAAAATCTACGGAGGGATCTCATTCTAAAAGCACATAAACTAACCACCCAATTATACGATAGCCTTGAATCTTTCCCACCCAAAATTGTCAAATAAAAAAAAAACAAAAAAAAAACTTTTTTCATCCCAGAAAACAGAAAATCACAGCTTTTCAAATCCAACCAGGATCACCAATAATACGTGTATATATAGTCATATTAAAACTCTGATACCTACAAATCAGGGCTGTATCAAGACTAAATCCTTATATACATCATCCCCCACACCACAAGGCACAAACAATCTCCATTCTGCGAAAAAAGTTCTAACTCAGTATTTAATATCACCATCTTTTTTCTGTGTTTCGTTCCTTTCTTGTTTTCTATTCCTAATCCAATTCAATCAAAAACCCAATCAGAATCACATTCATATGGCCTCTCTCAGTCTATATTTGAAGGAAGCCCGCACCGCTTATTTCATGGTCATCTGCTGCTCCTCTGTTTTCATTTAATCCTTCGTTTGCTTTCTCTCTCTCTCTCTCTCGCTCTCTCTCCTTCTCTTTTGATCAAGATGAAGCACGGTGATGTTTGTCATGATTCGTCCGACGAGGACGGCGAGAAATTTGTCGAGACCGATCCGACGGGGCGGTACGGCCGCTACGGCGAGCTTCTCGGCGCCGGAGCCGTGAAGAAGGTGTACAAAGCGTTCGACAACCGGCAGGGCACGGAGGTGGCTTGGAACCAGGTCTCGCTGAGAAGATTCGCGGACGACGACGCCATGATGGGGAGGCTTTTCAATGAGGTCAAATTGCTCATGGCTCTGAAAAACGACAACATAATCTCCTGCTCGCACGCCTGGAACGACAGCAAGAACATGACCCTCAATTTCATCACCCAAATCTGCACCTCTGGAAGTCTGAGGGACTACCGAATGAAGCACCGCCGCGTGTCGTTGCGGACCCTCAAGAAGTGGGCCAAGCAGATCCTCGTCGGGCTCAACCACCTCCACTCGCAACAGCCGCGCGTGATCCACAGAGACTTGAATCTGAGCAACGTGTTCATCGACGGCCACAACGGGCGCGTCAGGATCGGCGATTTTGGACTCGCCGCCGTCGCGAAGAGCAAAAACGAGGTCCTCCGGTCGGTGGTCGGGACGCCGGAGTTCATGGCTCCCGAAATTTACGAGGAGAAGTACGATGAGAAGGTGGATGTGTACGCGTTTGGGATGTGCGTGCTGGAGATAGTCACCAGGGAAGTACCTTACAGCGAGTGTGATAATGTGGTGAAGATTTTCAAGAAGGTGACCTCTGGCGTGAAGCCACGCGCCTTGGGCGCGGTTAAGGATTTGGAAGTGAAGAAGTTTATTGAGAAGTGTTTGGTCGCCGCGGCGGCGAGGCCCACAGCTGCTCAGCTGCTTGAGGATCCTTTCTTCGATGGGATTTCGGATGAAGACGAAAGCTTTGTACTGTGTTTGGATTTTTCTATGTTAATGACTGATGATAAGAATTGTAATCTTAAACAGCTCATGTCTAAGAACACAAATGGACATGGAGCGATCGTTGATGTAGTTCTTAGTCATTAGATTTTTTTTTTAATGATTAATTTTATGGTAGGGGTTGATGTGCTAGTTCGGGTTGATGTGCTAGTTCTTGTTGATGATGAAATAGAGATTAATTTGAGTTTATTCGTTTTGATTTTCTTTCATTCCATTGTGGTCGGCTAATGAAACCTTGACAGGTTCTTAATAACTTAACCAACCCCTAAACAATAGAGAAAGATACGGTGGTTCAAACAGTATTTTTTCTCATCGGACATGATCAAAACTTGTTTGAGTTTTGAATATGACTAAAAATTTCATTTTAGTATAGAAGCAAAAGCACATACTAACCAGATTAATGTCTAGTGTAAAAAGCAATCAGTCTATCTTTTCTCTTTTTTTTTTTGGGGGTAGAATTTAACGTCATAGCACTTACCACGCAGCAAGCAACAACCAGTTTTTTCATAGAAATCAAACACTAAAGACCTCGTTCATTTCACCGATTTGAGTTTAGAATTCAAATTTTACTACAATAAAGAGTTCTCAGAAACAGTCAAATCTAATTTTTTTACTACAATAAAAAACTCACATAATATCGCATCTCAACTCGAATTAAAAACTCAAATCAACGAACTAAACAGGTCTTAAAACTTCTCTAGTCTTCAAGCAAAGGATAGCCAAGCAAGAGTAAACATTTGTTGAATCCAATTAAGGAGGGTGATTTGTCAGCCATTTACCCCTTGGCTCCATGTAACTTTGACAAATCCAACTGTAATTTTCTCTACATCCAATTCTACTTTGTCCCTCTAGGAAAAAAAAAAAAAAGTATGTCAGACTTCAGAAATCAAGCTTGACCAGCCAATGTATGATCATCTGTTGATAAGTTGAAAGCAAAAGTGCAACTGATAACATCTATAACCGTCATATCAGGCCTCATTATGGCGAGCGAGTAGGTGTAATTTGTGATATTTTCTTCTGAAGGTAGGGGTTCACTAACTTCACTTCACCGAAATAGGAAGGAAAGGAACAAGAGTTTTACTTGATAATCGTACGAGTAAAATCCATACAACGAAAAATGAAGTCTCAAAGTGCAAACATGTTAATAAGTGAAGTTAGATAGGGTTGTATTACCTCAACAGCCAATCGCCTTGTCATCTTGAACCTAGGCTGAATTGATCCAAACCGAAAATCTTTTGTTCCCTAGAATTCGATAAACGGCCGAGAGACTTAAAATTACTCTGATGCACTACTGAAACCCTGGCAATCAACTTCCAGAAGATTCAGAATAAAACAACCAGAGTGGATGGCAGCTGAAATAGAGAGAGCAAGCAGCCCTTCTCATCATTTAACAATCTCAAAAGCCCAAACAAGAGTAAAGATTCTCAAGACAAAGACAATGGATCCTTTTCAGCCACTAAAACTAGCTTGGAAGAGTTTCTGATACCCTTCATCACTCTCTTTCACCAAATTGCTGGCCAATATTATAGGACGTCACATCGGTGAGAAAAAAATTTAGACTGTCTTTGTTAATTCCTTTAATCAAATTTCTGACCAGTACATACCAAGTTACATCATTAGGTATGAAGCCCTTTTCCACACCTCTATATAGAAGCAAACAAGCATTGTTAGCCATGCCTTCTTTGCAATAAGAACTGATCAAAGTGTTATAAGTGATTGCGTCCGGACTTATTCCTTCAACTTGTAATCTTTCAAGGAGATTCAACGCCTCCCACGTCCGGCCTACCTTACACAGACCATTTATTATGCTATTGTAAGTGACTATGTCCGGCATTAAACCCCGATGAATCATATCCCTCAGAAACTCAAGCGCTTCTTGTACTTTTCCGCTTCTACAGAGACCGTTAATTAAAATATTGCATGAAATGGTATCTGCCTGAAGCCTCTTCCTCATCATTTCTTCAAACAGTCCCCTTCCTTTCTCGACATCCCCGGCTTTGCACAGCGCCTTTATTAGGCCGTTGTACGTGACTTTGTCGAGCGGGCATCCCTTAAACAACATGTCGTTTACAAGCTTCAGTGCTTCTTGGATTTCACCTTTCCTCAAAAAAGCATGGATCAAGGTGTTGTAGGTAACGGTATTGGCAATAACACCTTCCAATACCATATCCCGATAAATTCCCAAGGCTTCTTCCAATTTATTAATCCTGCATAGTCCGTATATAAGAGAATTGAATGTAAATATGTCTGGCTTACATCCCTTGAGCGGCATTTCACTAAACATAGATAGAGCCTTATTGACATTCCCACGCTTGCATAAAGCATATATAAGGCAATTGTATCCCACAGTATTGAGACAAATCCCCCTGTCTGTCATTTCATTTAAAATGTTTCCGGCTTCCTCTAGTAGGCCTTCCTTGCAGAATCCATCTATTAATGTTGTGTATGTTATCACATTGGGCTCGCAACCCTTCGTCGTCATCTCCTTGACCAATGCATGAGCTGAACGCAAGAAACCCTTCTTGCAAAGTCCATAAATCAGTATGTTAAAAGTAAAAACATCAGGCTGACAGCCAACATTTAACATGTCATTATAAAGAACTGCCTTAGCTTCATCAAATCTCCTATGCATCACGTAGCCATTAATCAAGGTATTGAAAAGTACAATTTTCGGGTTCGGCACTTTGTTCAACAACGCCCTTGCTTCATCAACTTGCCCCATTTTACACAATCCACGCATTAGAACTCCACAAGTCACGTCATCAAGAGCAAAATCTCGAAGAAGCATACGATCAACCAATTTAGCTGCCTCATGAATCCTGCCGTCCTTGCAGAGGCCATGGATAACATCATTGAAAGTCTGAACATCGGGTGTACAACCCATCAGAAACATTTCTTCCAAAAGCCTTAATGCTTCATGCACATTATTATTCTTGGAGAGTGCGTGTATCAGAGTCTGGTAAACCACTGAATTTGGCACACACCCGTGTTTTGTCATGTCTCTAAGGAGCGAGCACGCGGAATCCACCTCATTAACCATACAAAGTGCTTTCATTACCACTCCAAAAGTGTAAACCGTGGGAGAGATACCTTTGCACAGCATGTCATAGAAAACATTGGATGCCACTTTAGGACAGTTCCCAGCTACCAATATATCCAGCACAACATTGTAGGATCTAAAAGTGGGTTCACAAGAATAAGCACCTTTCATATCCAAGAGCACCCTAGTTGCTTGTCCCGGAAAACCGGCTCTCCCATAGTACTTCATAATCAAGATGAAAAGGGGCTCTCTAAATACAATCTCTTCTTCTTTCATCTGCACCAACAACTTATCGATAACCTTAAATTCCCCAGCCTCCCCGAGCTTATCAAACAATACATAATACACATCAAATGAGTGGCGATAGCCCTTTTGGGAACCTACCCTTTCAAATATATCCATCGAAGTAGCCACATCTAGTGGCAGCTTAAGCAACTCACAAAGCTGAAATGGGGAAATTTGAACAAGCGATTTCTGAAGCTCTTTCAGGTCAAAAGGCTTAAGTAACCTTTCCCATTCGTTTTCGGACTCTGACCCATTATCATTCATGGGTTCATTTGCATCAGTATGATCATTCAAACCCTTAGCTGAACAAATCCCAAAACAGGGGATTTTAAGCAAAGATTGCAAGCTTTTGCTCACATGGAATGAAAGTTGGGGTCTTTTTAACATTACTCAAAACCCCAGCTAAAAATTTGTCGAAACTAACCACATAACTAGAAGATTGGCAAATCCGAACACCTCACTAGGTCCATTTTTTCCTACAAAAACAACGTAAATGTATTATTAATCATTGAATTGCTTAAGCCATTAAATTAAGAAAATAGAATCTTTTAGGCTTTGTTTGGAACCCATATTTTAGGGGTAAAATAAAAAATATGAAAGGAAGCGCAAGAGAAAAAAACTAAATCAATCCAACAGACCTACTTATTACTAAAACCAAAACATAACAAAAATACAAAGAAAATTACAAACCAACCAACTGCATAATTATATATGACTTGCTAGTAAATTTCAGTATTATTTGTTTTGTGCACGAGTGAAAACCTGAATAAAGTGTTGAAATCAAACATTAAAAAAAAAAAAAAAAAACCTACGTAAACATTAAACATTCCTGACACACATTCAATCAATATTAACCAATTAAAAGTTTTGAGGCATGCGAAACATGGACAGAATTCATAAACGGTCCGAGGGAAAATAAAGAAATCAATCTAAGTCTAGAAAAACAGCTCAGTTTTCTTCAGAAAGTTGATAATATATGCAGTATAAACAATGTTTTGAGTGACAAAGAGCTATAATTTTGGGTGGGTCGTTTCTTCGAACATCTAGAGTGCAAATCATAAAAGCAAAAAAACACAAAAAAGACAGAGGAGAGACATACTTGAGAGACTTCCGCGTAAGTGCCGGTGTTGGAGGCATTCAGAGAGCACTAAGAGTGTTGGTTTATGTATGACTTCAAACTCCGATCAAAGCGAAACGACGAATTTGCTCATTTCTCAATCAAAAAACAACTTGGGAAAAGAGTTTCTTTCAGTTCCGTCGTTTCCAAATCAATGCCACTGCAGAATCGAAATTGGGTTTTGTCTCTTTTATCTTATCTAGGTGCTCGTCCAACGCTGAAACTGGTTTTTCTTTCTTCGAGATATGCAAATTTTTACAGTGTTGAAACTTGAAGCTTATGGAACGGAAGGCTAGAGAAAAACAAAGTGAAATGAGAGTGAAACGACACGACAAAAGCAAAGTTGGAGCGACAGCCGACAGCTGAATAGTGGAGATAGCTCATAACTCGAGAAAAGTAAAAATTAGTAGATCTTTATAATGGTTTTAAAAATAACAAAATATTATAGTACTTCCCTTATTATAATGATTTTCATGTTTCATATTATTATAGTAATCGATTTTAGTTTTTTTTTTTTTCATTTGTAAAATATTTTAAATGTTTAGGGTACATTTATTTATTATATTCATTTTTTATTGTGAATCATGATTTATAATTCTCTATAGTATTTTTTCTCACAAAAAATACGTATAAAATAAAAATAATTTTAAATTATAATTCTAAATACATAAATCAAACATCCTCTCATGTTTCTGGATGAACTTCAAAAATAGTTAAAAAAACGACCAAATTTTGGGTTAAGGTAAATGACATGACCATCTTTTGTAAGGTTATATTTACCGACTAAAATTAATTTTGGTCAACCCCATATTTATTTGATAAAATATGAATTGGGGTACGTAGTTTAAAGGATATCTATAAAATTAATCCATTATTGGGGGTGCAGCAGAGACAACCTCAACCAGAGCGGATTTCCATCGACTTTTAAAAAACCAAACTAAAACACGATTCGATTACCTTGTGGTCAGACAAAATATTGTGAAACGAAGAGATAGGAACTGAAATTGTTAAGGCAAATATTAAAAAATAGGTCAATATGAAAAACTTAATAAAGTATATAGGTCAATTTTTAGTTATAGAAATTAATAAACCATAACTTGTCAAGTTATGATTCATAACCAGATAAGTTATGGACAAACTTGTCAAATTATGATTCATAACCAGACAAGTTATGAATAATTATGAACAATAACTTGTCAAGTTATGATTCATAACCAGACAAGTTATGGACGAAAACAGTAATTTGACCTATTTATTAACTTATGTAAACTATTGGCCTATTAATTTTAATTCATCTCAAGTCTCGATTTATTTTTCTCTTTCTCCCAATTCTTAATTACACTGAAGATCCACTATCAACATATTGTGTCACTACAAGCCCACATGTAAATTGTCAAATTCCCAACAAGAGGTGTTACAAATAACCCCATACATCCCAATGGAGAGGAATATAAATCACTATGCATAGGAACCACAGTGAACTTGAGATTCCAGGGCAACTCTCGCGGCCTCAATGACTACTTGCCCGCTGACATAGTGCTGCCGGCAGACGGGCATGTAGACGTCAGCTCCGCCGATTAGCTCCGTTTGTGTCTCCTGCGTTTTTCTTAGTGTAAACAAAGCCCGTTTCCCACAAAGCTCACACCTAGCAGTCAACTTTGTTACAGAATCCGCAAGGGGAATTATATCAAGCACAGAACCAAAGCTCCTCCTGCAACAACATCACTCAACGTAAATAAAAGAGCAGACAATGGTATAATGCAATATCTTTATGAGCACAATGATCTTGTTAAAAATGAAAGTAAGTTTGAAAATCACCTCAAATAGTCACCGTCTAGTCCAGAAACTATTACTGTTTTGCCATCATGATCAGCAGCTTCGCAGCAGAAATCATAAAGGTCCTCAAAGAATTGAGCTTCATCGATACCAATCACGTCGAGCTGTACCAAATGTTGCACCACGAGGCATGAGTAATACAACACACACGGAGAAAGGATACAATAAGCTAAATGAAAATTGTCGCTGAAAATAGCCATAAAATCACACCTGTATTTCAAAATTTTTGTGAGGCCTTAATTCCAACTAGGAATTGCCTTGCTCTTAACGAATAATACTTTCTTGTAACTTAGAGTCTAAGATAACCTAGATACGCAAAATGGCAAAACCAACAACTCGACATTCACTGACAACATTTATAATCAATATTTGCAACTTAAAAAAATACCCGGTCGTATGCATCAAGACCAATTTTCTTCCTGAAAGATGACAAATCAGCCAGTGCCCAACATGGCAATTTCACCCCATCATGTGTTACAATTGAATCCAATCCATATCTTGTGTCCTTATTTGATTTTATTACTGCTACGCTTCTATAAAAAGATACACAAAAAGAGTTAATAAACAATAAATGATTCTCAAGATACATGTATTATTGTTCAAACCAGATCCAGAAAATAATTATCCACAGTAATATCGTTAGAACATGAGCATTTTCTCTTTTAATAGACGCAAACTAGATAAGGATGCAAAATTCTAAAAGCATCACTCAATTGAAACGTAGTTGTGAATACTCTTCATCAGCCACTACTACCTTATCATATAGAAACCATTTATCAGCTTTGACCCATAAAAAAAAATGAAGAGCTAGGGTATTCCACAATCAAAAGATCACATGCATCTCATTTGCACCACCCAAGTTGACAATTTTCCTGTATTAATAGGCTAATAAACAATGTAACACCCTCCATGTGGTCCATAAACATAAATAAACGTGAGAAGTTTAAGTTTACACTAAAATAACTTTCCGTTATCATAGACCATGATAAAAGACAACCATTGTGATGCGTATAGCAGAAACATCCAAGTTCAGAGCACTAAGCTCTCTTTCTTTTTCTTTTCTCTGTTCTCTTTCTTTTTATTTTCTTTTGTGTGTTTGTGTGCTCTAAAAGAGCAAGAAGCTCCTTGATTACTCAATAGCCAATTCAAAAGAGTGAGAAACTCACAGGAAAGGAGCTCTTTCCCATTACCTAATTTAGCTTCCACTTAAATCAGGAAAATATCCTGTATCCTTTAATATGCAAGTTATTGCTTTAATCATCTCATAAATCTCCTCAGTTTGTTTATGAGATTTATCACCCTTATAAAAGAAGTGGACCTCCTTTTGAACCTCAATCCTGCTATAAGCAGGTTCCTTTAACATTCCCAATTCCCTCATCGCAGCCCTAATCTTTGCAGCATTCTCCCACAACCCAAAGGTGGCATAAGTATTAGACAAGACCACATATTTTCCAGCATTTTCTGGCTCTAATTCAAAGTACTTCTCTGCTGCAAGCTTTACCAAGTCCCTTTGTCCATGAATTCCGCAAGCCGCAAGCAAAGCACCCCATATCACCGAGTGCTCCTTACAAGGGGAGCTCAAAACAAACTCATAAGCCTCTTTTAACCTCCCAGCACGACCTAAAAGATCAACCATAGCAGCATAATGCTGTGCTCTAGGTTGAATCCCATAATCTTTCATTGACGAGAAGTATTCCCAACCCTCGTCAACAAAACCTCCATGGCAACAAGCAGAAAGAACTGACAGAAAAGTAACATAATTTGGTCTGAATCCTTCAGCCTTCATCTTATGAAAAAGATCCAAAACCTCTACAAATCTTCCGTGTAAACCATAGCCAGAGATCAGCGCAGTCCAGGTAATCACATTCCTATCTGGAGAGGTATCAAATACCAGCTGTGCATCAGATAGACTACTGCCCTTAAAATACATATCCAAGAGGGCACCATTGACTACAATATTTACCTTAATATCACACTTGATCATGACACCATGGGCTTGCTTTCCAAGCTCCAGTGTGGCTAAAGAGGCATAGGCTCGAAAGACAGATGCAAAGGTATACTGGTCTGGTATCAAGCCACTCTGTCTCATCTTGTAATAAAGATTCAACCCAACTTCTGCTTGCCCCTTTTGAACATATGCTGCAATCATCGCATTCCACGAAACCGAGTTTTTCTCCACTAGTTTGTCAAGCAAAATGTGGGCTGTTCCTAAATCCCCCGATTTTGCATACAATATCAACAATTTGGTCTTCAAATATTCATTAGGAACAAATCCCAAAACAATCATTTGTGAGTGGATTCTTCTCCCAGGTTTGTATTCTTTCATGAATATGCATTCTTGCAAGAGAAGAGCATACGTCCTTGGGTTCACTTGCAATCCTGTACGGCACAATAGAGAGACGGCCTCCTTCAATCTTCCCGAAAAACAAAGACTCTTTAACGTTTTATCCAGTTGAATATTGTATAGTAGAGGCTTGACCTGAAAGCTGGGAATATCTCACCGGTAACAATTTATCCAATCACAAAACCGAGACATTCAAAATCTTGACTTGTCCATCCACGAACATGAATGAATAAAAAAATGTAAAATAGCTTCTTTATTATTATTATTATTATTCATAATAATCCCTTCTATTTTTTCCCCTTAATTTCGTCTAATCCAACAATACTGCGATTCAATGAAGAAAGACTAAATATTTGGATTCTAAAGTATCAAGGAGAAATCTCGCAACTTAGCATAAATATAAAGCTTCACACTTTCAAACACATAAATACAGCCACAGAAGTCCATATCATTCAACATTTGAAGAAGCAGAAAACCCAATTCAATATTGCACATAAAAAGTAATCTCAGGCACAAAAACAGATTTTTCAACTAACCACCCAGACAAAAACTCATATATGAAGTTTTTACTCTGCAAAATCTCAAAAAACCCAGTTTGCTAAAAAGATCAAAGAAGGGTTATTCAAACCTGCCGTTGGTCCTCTCAGATTGAACCCGGTGGAGAAGCGTGGTGGTTTTTCCGGCGAACATTGGACCGAGAATCACATGAATTTCACCGGACGGCGTACGAGGTACGGACTCGGTTTGCAGGCCTTGGTTTTGGACCAAACAGCAGGAGGTTTGACGAGGAGAAATGGCGGGTTTTAGGCGCAGAAGATTTGGGTTTTGGAGAAACCTAGGTGGGTTTCGAAGAATGGAATTAGAGGCGACAGAGAAGAGAGCCGAAGTTGTGGTCTGGTGGGGAAAGTGAGAAGACGAGAAGGGCGACCACGTTGTCTGTGATACCAGGCTCTTCATCCTTGTAATAGCTGATGACATGTATCTAGAGAGAGAAAGAGAGGAGGACAAGAAGAAGAAGATAGAAGAGAGAGAGAGGAGACCAAGGGTTTAAGGGGTTTACAGAGTGACCATAGTTCTGTACTTCAGTTCTCTTTGCTTTGGTTTTGGTTTTGGTTTTTATTTTTGGGAGAAAGACGAAAATGTGAAGGTTTAATATGAATTAAAATTAATAGATTAATAGTTTATATAAGTTAATAAATAAATTAAATTATTATTTTTATTTATAATTTGTCTGGTTATGAATTATAACTTGATAAGTTATTATTCATAATTTATTTGATTATAAATCATAACTTAATAAATTTATCTATAATTTATCTAATTATGAATTATAACTTGATAAATTATAACTTATTAATTTTTATAATTAAAAATTGATCTATAAATTTTTTTAAATTTTTTATATTAATCTATTTTCTACTATTTTCGCTTTATTTTTTTTTTCGTTTCTTCCTCAACTTTATTGCGTGTCTGTATGTTTTGGGCCTTTATGGGCTGTAATTTGTCCGGTTATGAATTATAACTTGATAAGTTATTATTCATAATTTATCTGATTATAAATCATAACTTAATAAATTTATCTATAATTTATCTAATTATGAACTATAACTTGATAAATTATAACTTATTAATTTTTATAATTAAAAATTGATCTATAAATTTTTTTAAATTTTTTATATTAACCTATTTTCTACTATTTTCGCTTTATTTTTTTTTTCGTTTCTTCCTCAACTTTATTGCGTGTCTGTATGTTTTGGGCCTTTATGGGCTGAACCCAGAATGCTGTCATGCTGATGAAGGAAAAGCTTTAAGATTATATTGGCCGGCGTATTAATGTCTCATTTATTTTATAATTTAAATTTAAAATTTAAGTTTTATTATAATAAAAAATTTTAAAAAATAATTATATTTAATTTTTTTACTGTAATAAAAAATTCTCATATAAAGTCACATCTCAATTTGAATCAGTGAATTAAGTAAGTCTTAAGGATCTCTTTAATTTACTGATTTAAGTTTTTAATTTAAATTGAGAAAAAAAATTAAATGTGACTGTTTTTTAAAATTTTTTATTTTAATAAAATTCGAATCGATAAAATAAAACTTAAAACTTCGGTTAGTAAAAAATAATAAAAGTAAATAAAATTATCTGTTGAATGTTGAGACAATTGTTTGATGCTGACGTGGAAGCTGATGTGGCAGCTTTGTTACAGGTGGATGACATGGAAATTCTTTCTCTGATTAGTTAGTCGGCTAGACATTTACTTCTCAGTAATGTTGTAATATATAATAAACGGAATATAGAGTTGTTAGGAGAGAGATTTTCTCTGTTTTTGTCGGTGTATAGAGAGAGAGAGAGATAATTAGGGGAAACAGGAGAGAGAAACAGGGAACAATAGGGCTGTGAGGGGAAAATTCATGAAGATCTGGGATTGTTCGGATTTTTTTGTATTGTTTCTTAATTCGGGAAGTCATTCAATAAAGTTTTTATGGTTTTTCCTTTAGTTGATTCTCAGTTGAAGAGATCAACCTCAAATGTGTTATTCAATTTCTTGGTTGCTATTAGGAATAGATCTTGGAGGTTGTTATTGAGTTGTGATTGCTCTGGTTTTACAACATTATCTAATAAAATTATTACTATAATAATCTATAACGTCAGTTCCGTTCATTTTAATAGTTTGAATTACAACTCAAATTTTTACTACAATATTTTTTTTAATAATGTTATGAAACAATTCTTATATTTTAATAAAATAATATAAAGACTCAGAGATTGCAATGGTGGGTCACAAGTCATCCTCGAGTTGCAATAGATGTCACGAATCCATTACGACATTGATCGTTATCTAAGGATGGCAATTTCGTCCATCGTGACTCTGTGGGTTACAAGATCTCCGTTCATTTAATCAATTTGAGTTTTATTACAGTAAAAAGTTCTCAAAAATAATCATAATTATCTTTTTTATTACAGTAAAAAATTCTCACATAAAATTACATATCAATTTAAATTAACAAACTAAACGGACTCAACATCTTTCACTTTTTTTTTACCCTCACAAATAGTTTTTTGACAGTCCCTCATTGCCATGACCTTTTTCTAAAAAATCTTTAATGTATTTTCGTCCTTTTTGTAATAATTAAATAAATTTTTTTTTAAAAAAAGGTTGAGATCAAATGTGATTATGTCCATCAACGATGAAAAACAACCTTTCCCATTTTAGGTTTTTTTTTTTACCTTTTTTAGTTGACTATTAACTTTTTTTTTCCTACTTGTATAAAAAAGAGAATATTATCATCACTTCTATGATGGGTTTAAAAAAAGTGCATGATCTTAAATCGTTGCCATCGGGTGGTAGTTGTCCGAAAACTTGATTAAAAAAGAAATGCTTTCGTGTATGCAACTATCACTGTTGTACCATATAAATACCTTATTTTTTATTTTGAAACCCATGTTTAGTTAGCGACATGCCCAATATATTTATTGTCCAGTTGCATCATTTGCTAAAATCGTTAATTAACTATCTAATGCGTGTTAGTTGATGTGGTTTGGTTTGTTTCTTTAACTATAGTTTATGCTTCAATTAAGCCGTCTCTGCATGTGATTTCAAGTTCCTGAACTTAGGATCAGATCAGATTCTGCATATTTTACACCAAAATACCAAATCCTATTTCTATTTCATCAAAAATGGGATCTAGCATAGGAGTTTGTAAGTTGAGGCATTTAGCACAAATGAAAATGTATCTACTTTGACCCAGAAGAAAAGAAATACGCAATGTGCCACCAATCAAATAAATTTACATTTATGCCATCTGGTCTTTAACTTTTTATTTTTTATTTTTTTTAACTTTTAACTTTTTTTTTTTATTATTGATTTTGATATTCTACCATACTACTCAACGAAGATCAGAGTCTGAGATGCTTTGTCTTTTATAGAAGAGAAAATTTTATATTCCTACTATAATTTTTTTTTTATGATTTGAGTAATATAGATGTTAAATTTGTATTTTTAAATGACCTAAATATTAGGACAATATCTTTTTGAGTGGTATTTTGTATTTCTCCCAAAAACAAATGTCCCGTTTTTTTTGCTGATTCGAGTTTAGAATTCGAATTTTGTTACAGTAAAAAGCTCTTAGAAGCAGTCACATCTAACTTTTTTGTTACAGTAAAAAGCTCTCATACAACATCACATTTCGACTCGAATTAGCAAACCGAACGGGCCCTAACAACAAGGATGTAAAGCAACAACATAAAGTCCCAATATTATTATTATTATTATTTTCTTTTTGAAGGAAGTCCCATTAATTTTTGTAGCATCATTGTTGCTGTAACATAGGTGTAACAGGGTGATGCTCTGTCACATTAGTTGGCTTCTCAATTCTCATATTGCTTCATTATTGACTTCATCACTCAAACCAATTCATAATCAATCCACAATTCTCCTTATATCTAACTAAACATCAATATATAACAATATTAATGAAATGGTCCCTGGCTTTGCCCCATTACAGCTTTTAATAGTAAGTTGATGGGAATCAAAGAGACACATGATAAGAACTAATCCCTTTATACATTATTATTAACTCTCAATCCATTTAATCATGCACATGCATGTATCTCAAACAACCTATTAATTATCCATTCAATCATTTATATGATCCATATCAAGTGGACTAGCAACAGAGCAAATTAAGGGTAAAAAAAAAAATCCCTAATATCAGCTCTAGTGGTTAATTCACTTATTTCTAACCAAAATTATTGAATTTGAGTCCTTGCAGCAAATCCCAAAAAAAGAGAGAGAGAGAGAGGGTCCTTAATCTTGCTTATTTTAGAATTTTTTTTTTAATCAGCTTATTTTAGAATTTGAATCCCAATAGTCATGATTTTCTCCAAAAAAATAAAAATAAAAATCCTACAGTCATTGTTTTATTTTCTCCTAGCTTTCTTATGAAAACACATTTCTCTAATAAGATTGAAAAAAAATAAACTATTTGTAATTATCTACTTTTCGGTATTTAAGAGTCCGTTTAATTCATAGATTAAAATTATTTTTGATTTACGTGTATTTTTTGTGAGAGAAAATATTGTAGCGAATCATGAACCATGATTCGAATCAGAGAACGAATCCTCCAACCAAATGGGCTTTTAATATATATTATAAACTATTTATTCTATATGTTTTTTTAATTTAATATAATTCTAACTAAATTTAACGATAAGAAACCGACCTTATTGATAGATTAACCTACCAAAGAAAGTCTCCAAAAGATATTCATTTTCATTGACATGATTTTGAACAATAATGTGATATTAATCGGGAAAGTGGATACTCAAACACGATCCCTTTCACAATAACGTGTGGAACTGTGGATGTTGGGAACTTTGATGTGAGCATCAAATTAGGGTTAGGCTTTTGTTTGAAAAGGCACGTGCTAGTGTTAATGTGGTAAGTCCACTTTGAATTTATTATTATTTTTATTATTATTTTTTTCCTGAAAACCTACTTTGAAATTTAAACCGCAACATAATTATGACCTTTCAAAATTTTTTTAAAAAATAACTTTGCATGACATAGTAGTTAGTAATACAAAGTTGGGATAAAAGGAAAAGTTATCTACAGTTGTAGATATCCAAAAAAATAAATAAATAAAGTAGAAGTGTAGATAAGAAGGTCCGAAATCCATCCAATCATTTTCCCCTTGTCGATACAAAACAAAATCACATAGCAATTGGAGCTTAAAATATATTTTTGTATATGCAATATACATTTTTTCTGAGATATTTATATATATATATATATATATACTTTGAGTAGCATGTTAGTCTAGAACAACCTGATCTGTGGTATAAAAATTCCTCCAAAATTTGACGGTTGGGAGGTTATTTATTTAATGTTATATTATAATTAATATTATTTTAATTAAATAAACAAAGGAAATAGGCTGTGGTCATTATATTGGAAGGCAATAACGTCATGCATGTGCCCTGTGCATTTGATGCATCTCTGCTTGCTGTATTCTTTTGGATGAGTGGGAGCACAAGCAATCCCTTCTGTCTCTCACACATCTCCCACTTTATATATATATATAAAAGATGTTGGGGAACTCATAAAAGCTACTAACTAGTATACTTATGAAAATAAAAGGAAAAATAGTGTATAACATGTAGAAAAAAAAAGGAATAACTGGTAAGAAATTATAGATTGTTCACAGTTGAACCCTTGATTTGATATGTCTGTACTTTTGATATATGGCTAGTATCGAAGGATATTTAGGTCTCGTTCGTTTCGCGGATTTGAGTTGAGATGTGACATTTTTTGAGAGTTTTTAACTGTAGCAGAGAAAGTTAAATGTGATATTTTTTTAGAGCTTTTAACTGTAAAAATTTATAACTGAAAACTCAAATCGATAAAATGAATGAGGTCTTAGTTAAATAAAAGACCTATATGTGTTGAATGATCCAGTTTTCTCTCAATTTCTTTGATTAACTTGCACAAATATTTTAACAGGGCTAGTCTATCCACTCAACAATTTCGAAGCATATGAAATACCTCACCTGCCTAAAAATAAAAAGAAATTACTATGTTTACTTGTCCGTACACATATACCAATCAAACAAGTACATTATTCTTTTTTTGATGTAAATGTACATCATTTTTTTTTAGCCTAAAGACAAATGCTTCGTATCATTTTATTACTCAGTTTTTAGCTTTCAAAAGGATATGATATGCTTCCCATAATTAATAATAATAATATGCCAAAATTCCTTCCAATGCTAACTCCAAAGTCATTATAAAGTGAATAGGAAGTCCCTAAAACTTCATGCTACTTATTTATTTATTTATTTGAGAATGCCTCATTGAAAGAAAAGAATCAACAAAAAGGACTTCAAAGAAAAAATAGCGATAACTGCGAAAAACGCAAAATAAAGGGGGAAGATCGTAAATAATAAAAGTTTAAATGCTCAACAGGAGATGTAACGTAGCAACGTCGAATTTCTTTCATTTATTGTTTTTCTTGAAATCAAAAACTTAAAACTTGGAAGTCACCATCTTCCATCGTCTCTCCCTTCGTAAGTTTCTTACACGAGAGGATAGCCAAGCTTCTCTCTTTCTTTTCTCTCTCACACCAAATATATATATATATATATATATTATATACATATAAATGCCCATTTCAGATGCAAATTCCTTTTCTCAAACACATCTTCTTCTCTCTCTTTAATACATAGCTTTCATTTCATCACACACACACACACATATATATATATCTAATTGAATCAACAGTGATTGAGAAGAAGAAGAAAAAAGGGAAGAAAAAAAGAGAAGAGAAGAGAGAGCTAAAAAGGATGGCCTCTCGCCCTCTAATCCTATTATGCCTCCTCTCAGATCTTAGATTCTCATAATTTCCCATCTGGGTTCTCTTCATTTGGTAAGTTTTCATATCAAACAAAGAAAAAACGATTTGTTTTCCCAAGCAACTGCGACGAAAACGAAAAAAATAAAAAATAAAAACGTTTCTGGGTTCCGGATCTTTTACCAGTCTCATGTTGAATTCTGATTCCTTTTCCTCTGTTTTATAGGAATCCTGTGATTGCTTGTCGATCGGTAATCCTGGGATTGAATCCGAGGATACCCATTTTGATATATAACAAGAAGAGAATTTCGGCTTCCTTGTGAATTATCCGTTTTAAGGTAAGAGTTGTTATTTGTTTAGTCAGCATTACCAGAATTTGTATTCGTTGGTTTTATCGGACGCATCGTTGAATTCTATATTCCTCGGAGAATTCGGGAAACACGTTTTAGATTATATTTTTATACGTAATTCTTGTCCAATTATGTGTTGCCGATTAGATCTGGCATGTGCCTTATTGTTTTGATTTGTTCTTGTCCATTGGTGAAACTAGGATTTATTTTTTTTAATGGAAATCTTGAGCTGAATGGAAATGGAGCCCGGCAAGCTTTTCATTGGCGGTATATCTTGGGACACAACTGAGGACCGTCTTAGGGAGTATTTCCAGTCTTTTGGAGACGTGGTGGAGGCGGTGATAATGAAGGATCGAGCCACAGGCCGTGCTCGCGGATTCGGTTTTATCGTATTTGCTGATCCTACTGTTGCAGAGAAAGTTGTTACAGAGAAGCACGTCATAGATAGTAGATTTGTGAGTTTCTGGCTCTGAATCATAGATTTATCTCTCATCAATATGTTAAATCTAGACACACTACAAATGTTTCGTTAGTTTGAGCATATGGTTGGCATCTTTAGTGCATCACTATTTGGAAATGAACTGCCAACTTTTAGTTTGATGCTTTTGAGAACAAATGTGTTTTGACTTTTTGTTAGATTTTTGAATTGCAGTCATTAAGTTGGCTACACTTTGTTGCTTGTCACTGATGATAAAAGAACAAAAAACAGATGCAACTTTACATACATGTAGTTGTGCACGTACACACAGTTTAGAAAGATAGCATACGTTCAGGCATTTCCGAAAATCGAAGCAATGCCAATGTCAAATTCTTTTTGAGTTTCTGCTCCTTTAGCAAATTGGTTAGTTAGTCGGGGAAGAAAATTTAAAGTGCTTAGCAACTTGATTCGTTGCTGCGTTAATCAGTTGTGACAAGGGATACTAAATAGGTTCTATGGGAAGTCAAAGCCTTCTAAAGTGAGCATTTGATGTCATATAGCATCAGCAAAAACCTTAAGACAAAGATTAAATCTGCAGAAAATTGAGTGAAAAAATGCGTGTCATGGGATTTATAGATGTTTCAATATTACAATTTGAGGATTCCTAGCAGACTTTTTAAATTTTTTTTTTTTTCTATTTTATTGTTTCACTCCGTATTTAGATCACCGAGCTTCTCTAACAGACAAATGGATAATACAAAGTTAAATTTAGAAAGTCAAGTCTATTCATTGTTATACTTCTTTACTTTTCTCTGATACGATTTAAGTGCATAATGAGCCTATATGTGATGTAGGCGTGTGTATATAATAAAAAAGACACCAGTATTATATTGGCAAACATCGAATTCTTTCAATATTTTTAGTTGCTGTTTGCGCTGGATATTTTAAGGTTAAAAAACTCTCTGGTCTCTCTTTCATTCTGCAGGATAATCTGAAATTTAGAAAATGTCTCTAACTTGCTTTTCATTCTTAGGTTGAAGCCAAAAAAGCAGTTCCTAGGGATGATCAGAACATTCTCAACAGAAATAACAGCAGCATTCAGGGGTCACCAGGTCCTGCCCGCACAAAGAAGATATTTGTAGGAGGTTTAGCATCGACAGTAACTGAGAGTGACTTTAAGAAGTATTTTGATCAATTTGGGACAATTACCGATGTTGTTGTCATGTATGACCACAATACACAAAGGCCTAGAGGTTTTGGGTTCATTACATATGATTCAGAGGATGCAGTAGATAAAGTGTTGTACAAAACCTTCCATGAGCTGAATGGTAAGATGGTTGAGGTTAAGCGGGCTGTTCCAAAGGAATTATCCCCGGGGCCAAGTCGGGGCCAGTTAGGTGTATATAACCATGGTCTGGGTAGAGTTAGTAGCTTCCTTAATGGTTATTCTCAGGGTTATAATTTAAACTCAGTTGGAGGGTATGGTAGACTTAGTCCAGTTACGGTTGGTCGAAATGGATTTTCCCCCTTCGGTCCTGGTTATGGGGTGGGTGTGAATTTTGAGACAGGGTTGAGTCCAAGCTATGGAGTTAATGCAAACCTCAGTTCTAACCTCAACTTTGGACGGGGATTGAGCCCCTCATATAGTAGTAGCTCAAACAGATTTGGTAGCACCCCTGGCTATGGTGGTGGCAATGAAGGAAATAGCTCTATCCTAAGTACAACAGGTCGGAATTTTTGGGGGAATGGCAATCTGAGCTATCCTACAAACTCTGCAAACTCAAGTGCTTTTATAGGTTCTGCTGGTGGCAACACAGGAGTGGGTTCTTTGGGCAGTATTGGAGCACTTTGGGGCTCCTCCCCTAATCCAAGTCAAGGTGGAGGTGCTGGTTCAAACTATAATACTGGCAGTCTCGTTTATGGCAGCGGAGATGTTCGGTTTCGATCTGGAGGTTTAGGCTATGGGAGAAACGGTGGAAGTGTAGCACCGGGATCATCATATGGTGCAAATGGTGGTTATGATGGGGCTCATTCAGATATTTATGATGGTGGTGCACTCTATGGGGATTCCACTTGGAAATCCTCACAATCAGAGCTGGATGGGTCTGGCTCATTTGGATTTGGGCTTGGAAATGGAGCTTCAGATGTCATGAGCAAAAATTCTGGTTACATTGGTGGTTATGGGGTTACTGCTAGACAGTCTACTCGAGGTACGTTCTTATATTTTCTTCTTTCTGTTCTTGTTCATAAATTCATCCCATCTTCACTTAAATGCTATGTATTACAATGTACGTTTCAAGTATTATGAGAATTAGATTACTTAATAGATGTGGGATCCAAATTTAGGTTTAGAATTTTATGACATTATGACTGTAGCTGGTTTCTCTCTCTCTACATGGGATGTGATAATTGGTTAGTTTGTGTTCGACGCCATACATGGAACATTTAAATTTTAGAATAAGCCATTTGGTTTGAGGAGTTGGTTTAGTTAGGTAGTGTTTGTTATGGAAATTAAAATATACAGGTTTAATATGCTTGCCATTACGAGCAAATTCATTTGCTTTGGAATGTAGCCATACTGGTTACTCCTAGACAATTAGTTGCAGGTGTAAAATTTGCACATGGGCACTTCATATGTCTTATTCTTTGTCCCTTTGATCTTGAAGCAGAGAATTAGACCTCGTTCATTTCACCGATTTGAGTTTTCAGTTTTAGATTTCTACAGTAAAAAGTTCTCAGAAAATGTCACATCGAACTTTTTCTGCTACAGTGAAAAGCTCTCAGAAAATGTCATATCTCAACTCGAATTGAAAACTCAAATCCGCGAAGTGAACGAGGTCTTAATTTTGTTCTTGTAATCTCTGTGATGACAACGGGTTTTTTTTTTTTTTTAATCAATATTTGGTTCAGGAATTGCTGCCTAGGAAGTTTATGAGATTGGTGTCTAAAGGCGCTACATTATAGGTGGAAGTGTATTCGCTGGGCAGGTGGGATGTTGAGAAACTACATTTTTACGACAATATGATTAGAGCTAATTGGTTCTCCTGTTATTGAAGAAGTAATTATAGAGAGCAGTTCACAAAAGGATTTCGGTGAAAGGTTTGAGATCGAGTTTGGCATAGGTTTCCTCTGTTTGGATTTCGTTTGAGGTGTATAACCAGATTGCGGAGTGTACGCAGAACTGTTGTATCATGTGTCTCAGATGAGAGAGTTAGAGAGAGAGAGAGAGAAAGAGCGATACATAAAAAGGAAGTGTTTTCTTTTCTTCTTTTCCTATCTTTCTCTGCTGTAATATCCAGCGTATTTGTTTGTTTTGTCAGTCAGGTATTTTTACTCTGATTTTTTGTTCACCTCTCTTTGGTTCTGTTGTTGAGCAGATCATATGAAGTGTCTGATTGTTTACTAAGTGTGGTACAATACTGAAAATAAGTCGCGCCTAGTTAAAATGTTCACGATACATGACGACTTGGTCTTCACCACTCTCACTTTTCCTTGTTAGATAGGTTCTTATACTTTCTTACTTTGTTGAAGAATGGAAGAATGCAACTCATTTTCCATTTTATTATTATTATTATTGTTATGATAATTCTACACTCTACAAATATTATGTACTCTAAGCATCCGATAATTTAGAATCATATCAAAACCAAGATAATGTACAAACTAATGGTTATTGATAAAAACTCATTATTGTTGTTATCTTCACTTTTTGTCTCTATGAAATTGCCATTTTTGTTATAAATAAATATCGGAGTTGTGGTAATGAATACAGATCAATCATGTTTCATCCAATCTTACTACAATAAGTCTATAGAAAAAATACATTTTCAACTGACAGAAAGGAGCTTTCTTCAAGTTGCCCAATTAGCAGCCGCCACGTCACTATAGGGTCCCGTGACCATTAAATATTTCTTGGCTCTCTGCCCCGTGACCATGAAAATTTACGACAAATATTCTTATCTATAGTTCAATTGTTAAGTTAAAATCTTAAGTGGGGAGAAAAAAAAAAAAAAAAAAAGAGAGAGAGCAGAAAGGTCATTTGGCTCCTTTCATGTTGTAGTTGAATTTTATAGATGCATTGAGTAGACAGATGAAATGGGCGTAAACGACTTGTTTTTCCTCTTCCATAAATATTTTAGCATATAGCCAAGCAAACACGTAGATACAACACAACCTCAATCATGAATTTCACTGCATTTTAGCCATTTCAAGTCCTCAATGTGTGGTCAGCGATCACTTTGATTCTTATCCTGGACATCATTTATTGCATTAGCTTTCAGATCGTTTTCATGGTTGACAATCACTTCTTTACCAAACAAAAAAACTCAAGAGAGATTGTAATTGGGTGGTCCACTATCTCCCAGAAGCATTTTTTTACCAATTTGATAAGGACAGCCTCCCAAAATTGTTCTTCTGGTATGCTTGATGTTTCACTGATAATATGAAAAATCACAGGGAAGAAGTCATCAGCATAATCAAACCTAAATGCTGTCACATAGCCACAAATTTCCTCTTTATAATACGAATTTTCCTGTCTACGAGTTCATTCTTCCTTATATTCAGCTTACCCTCAATTTTCTTTCAATTTTTCTGTTTCTGAAAGGGCAAGGAAATTTCGTCCCAAAGAAAAAGGGACAAGGCAACAAAAACCAAGATATTTACCAAATGATGACATAAAATTTAAATATTCTACAGATGTAGTAGCAAAGTCAATGATAAATCCTTAAAAATGCAAAGCAAGGCAACAAACGAAATTGCCATATTGTCTCCTTGCATAATCTATTTTTACATATACAGAATTGATGAAAAATGGCCCCTGGTGTAACTCCCTTTCTCATATGCCTCATGTGGAGCGTTACCAACCGTCCTTTAGCATCCGTTCCTTCTCAAGAATGAACATCCCTTCTTTATATTTTTGGCTAGGTTCAAAAGCCTTCTCCTGAAGTAAAGATCATCAAGGAAAAATTGGTTGAAGAAAGACCGTCAAAACGAGAGTGAAACCTTAGAAACAAAGAAGATCAAATCCCCGTAGTAAGTAGAAAAATAACTTATAGCTGCTGAAAAGAAGAAAAAGAAGAAGACACGGAAGAAAGAAAGTGGCTGCTTGTTCCAACCAGGAAAAGATTTAGAATGAAGAAACCAGAATTCGAGGATAGGAGCTTTGAAAGACAAGAAAGCAAAATTTCATCCCCTACCCGTTTACCCTTCAGCAGCTAGTTTCTCAATTTTGTGAACAGTTCATATATATCATGTACCCTTGGTATTTTAAAATTTTAAATTAGTGGCTTTTCTCGCCGTGAATAGTGATGTCTTCCGTGTTACCATTACGATAATGCATCACTACACCAAACAATTGCTCTACAAAATCAGGACAAAGAAAAATAGTTTTCAGCTTGACAAATGAACACACATAGACAACTCAAACTACGTCCTATTTTAAAAACTAGATACAAGGAAAGAGGAAATGATAAAGATAACAATTACAAGACCAGTGGAAAGCTAACCTGCGCAGCGCAAAACCAAAGCACCCGTCTAGTAAAGTTCTTAGTTGTAGGAATTAGTATTTAAGTAGAGACAACAATTTCAAAACACTCGAAGTACACAACAAAGAACGGTAGAAAATCATATAATATGACCGAATAAGGTGCAAAAGTACAAAAATCAGTGCAACAGAAAATGCCGATATAGCAAAATTTCAAGTTCTTGTAAGAGAAAGAATTCATGCTCCAATTTCAAATTTCAATTAATGCAACCTTCACCAGAACACCACTAAAATGCTAATACAATCTAACAAAACACAAAGATGCTCCAACTTACATATCTCCAGCCCAGAATCTGTTGGCAGGAGCTGCAGTAGATGTCATTTACGGTATGCAGGCCGCTGGTGAGGTTCCGCTCTTCGCTCGGCCCAAGTGATATGTTTACCCTGCAAATGCTCAGTAGTTAGTCATGAATCCATATATGACAGTTTCCCACCTATATCCTTACAAGGACACCCAAAAATCAGTCTTGTAGGTATGATTCCAATCCAAGAAACCCGTCAACAAGAACACCCTCCACAACATCGTCAAAATTTTGACAATATAACACCCCAAGTCAACCAATTGCTTACATAACAAACTCTCATTTACTTTGGTATACACAATAAACTATCCAAAAACGTTTAATATCAAACTCTTTTTGTTTATTTTGCCTTCTCAGTTCATCCAAAAGCAATTCAGTTTATTGGGTTTCTTAGTACGCAAGCACCACTACTGTACTAAGGAGTGGGGCCCACTAAAAGCCATCAAGAATCCTCAGACGAACCACTCACTCACTCACAATAACAACAACAACAACAAGGAAGAAAAACTCCTACGTTGATTGGATAAACCGCAAATTCGGAATTCCAAGTTAAAATCTCTTAAATCCTTAATCAAATTTGGTAAAAATTAAAAAAAAAAAAACAGTAATAATAATAAAAAGGAAGGATATACGGGGGATTACTTACACGTTTCGGAAGAGGTAGGCTCGGCCAAAGCGACCCTGAAAATCCTTGGAAACGATGTCATCGTGGGATGCAGTGTCAACCTTGCAAAACTTGCACTTGAAGATCTTCGCTCCATTCAGCGACTCAATAAATAGCCTTCCCATTAGAATGATTGATTGATAATCTATCTAATCTTTTTTTTTTCTTTTTTTTTTTTCACTGTTCTGTGTCGCGTTCTCTCTCTGCCCTAATACCAAAAGCGACTGTAGCAGAAGAATCAAAGCAAAAGTCTTTTCTTCGTGTGTTTCGTTCTTTCCTAGGATTTTACGCTCCGTTGCGGCAACTGCCAAGGATCCCTCGGCCCCTTTTATATTGGAAAATTCTCTTTAGCTTTATTATTATTTTTTTTTTCCTCTTAACTAATTAACTTTGCAATCAAGATCCTTTATTATTAAATAAACCCTTGACTAATTATCTTCACACCTCACTCAAAATATCTTTACACCTTTAAAATTTGAAGTTAATCGTATCGATTGATTTTTAAAATAAAACAAATCTTATTCTTTTTTTTTTTTGAGGTAATTGAAAATCTCATAAGTAAAAACTAGTATTAAAAACATTTGTTTCTTGATAATAATTTTTAATGTCTACTTTTCTAGTTTTACTGATCAATTGATCGTTTATCTTTGGATTTTTTTTTTTTGTGTGCGAACATGGAAATATTTGATATTTCTTACCAAACATATAGGTACATATAGGTTTCGTTTAGTTCGTAGCTTTAAATTTTCAATTCGAATTGATATGTGACTTTATATGAGAGCTTTTAACTGTAACAAAAAAAGTTAAATGTGATTTTTTATAAGAGCTTTTAACTGTAATAAAACTGAAATTAAAAACTCAAGTCGTTGAAATGAACGAGACCCTAATAATTCTCTTTTCAGAAACTGTTCATATGAAAATAAAGAACAAAATAAAAAATTACTTAATTATTGCTATAACTGCTAAAAATGTGTGCAATGATTCGGAGACTTGCGAAAGAGCACACCTCCAAGATTAAGGTCACTAACACTTGCGTACATAGTGCCTCTCATTCGATTGAAAAATGAAATAAAATGATTAATTTTATGAGATGGAAAGGTATAATTGGATCATAGCTTTTAGTTTTCAGCTTTTACTTCTCAATGCACTTTGATATTATTTGTTATCAAATTACAATACAAACACAATTAAACTGTGTAGTTTGTTGATTAGAATTTTTAATTCGAGTTGAGATGTGATTTTATGTGAGAACTTTTTATTGTAACAAAAAAAGTTAGATGTGATTGTTTCTAAGAGCTTTTTACTGTAGTAAAATTTAAATTTTAAACTCGAATCAATGAAATGAAAGAGACTAATATTTATGAACTCCAAACACCTAGACCATGAGACGAATATAAACCACGTTCTGCCTTCAAGCAAGGCCAACATTCTTGGGAATTCTTGTTTATCCCTTTTAACTTTGTTTAAAATAGGCAAAGATTGATATACCATTTTGGTTCTCTGTTTCCAAAGAATCACTTCAAAGCAAAGCATACACGCATGATTGACAGATAAATCTCAACGGGCATAAATAAAATGCACATTCTGTTTCCCCATTGTAAGTTGACAAGTACAAGCAAGGTATTTTGAGAAATGATGGCAAACATCAATCACCTAGCGAACGAAGGAGATGAGCCAGCACAAAGACCATGTAATGAAATTGAAATAAATAGAAAACTAAAACTTGAACGATGTATAGCATAGCTTTCTCAATCCCCTTCACGTCATTTACATTTTCTACTTCAATTTCCCTTCTACAAACCACCCATAAAAGAAGAAAGTAAAATGAATCGAAATTCAATTCATATTTCAATAAAATCCAAGAAATTAGGTCACATGAGGAAGGAATCTGGGAGAGTCCTAAAGTAACAAAGAGACTAGTTAGAACCAGCAAAAGATTGTTCAGTGCCTTCGTGTGTATAACTTAAGATGAGCAGCACCAACCTTTTTTAGGCTCTGCTTCTGCTTCTTGGTTCCCATCTCCCTGTAAAACCACAGTTTTTCCATTCCCCATCCAGGTGGGATCCTTCTTGAGCTCTTGAGATATCATAACTTTTCGGCTTAATATATTATAGATCTCTTTCACAACCGTCTGAAAGGCGGTGGCAACGTTGGATGAATCGAGAGCAGATGTTTCCATAAAAAACAAACCCTGCGCTTCAGCCAAGGCTTTGCCTTCAGCAGTGGATACCTCCCTGGCATCCTTAAGATCAGACTTGTTGCCAACAAGTATTGTAACTACATTCATGTCGGAGTGAGCTGTTCAATTGCACACACACCCAATTAATCCTCATCTCGTCATGCTAAAACACACGCAACATATTGTAAACCACCAAGAGAACAAATCAATACATTTATCACGAGCAGGAAAAGAACACTTCGATCCCCAGTTCTCCACACAGACACTCACCAGAAAGAGCAGATCGGGGAAAAAGGAGAATCAAAGAGTAAAAAGGAACAAACTATAAGAAAGATTGTTGAGATGCTTACTGTGAAGTTCATTAAGCCATCTTCCGATGCTGTCAAACGTCTGGCGTCTACTTATATCATAAACCAGAAGAGCTCCAACAGCACCTCTGTAATATGCAGATGTAACAGCCCTAACCCGCTCTTGACCAGCCGTGTCCCAAATCTGTGCTTTAATTTCCTTGCCATTGATGTCCATCTTCTGTGTTTGGAATTCTACCCCTATCGTTGACTTGGAATTGGGATAGAACTCATCTCTAGCAAATCTTGCAAGCAGGTTTGACTTTCCAACAGCCGAATCACCAATTAGAACAATCTTGAAAAGATAATCCTCAGTTTTTTCCTCCTCAGAATAAAATGCCATTGCTAACGTTCACAGAACTGTCACTCTATCGAACCATAATTGTAAAGAGCAGTGTCTTGATTTTGGGCCTTTCAAGACTAATATTTAACCTATGAGAGATCAAACTTCAACGTATTCAAGACGAGGAAATGGAATTATCCATACATGAAGAAAACTGCTGACTCAAGAAACTTGGAGGGTAAGGCAGGTATATATAGCACATCACCCGCCATTCAATATTTACTTGGATGCAGGGCAAACAAACTCTGTCACGTTAAACCAAGAAAAGTAATTCTTTGGCTCCACTTTCAGCTCCCTGTGCTGATCTGGTAGATTTCTTTTTTAAAAATTCCAATCATGCCCTCACATAAGTGACAGAGATCTTAGGTCCCTGTTGCATCACAAGAGCATCAATAACTACATGTTAATGATGCAATTTCTAGCTTACTTATTATACAAAGTAGAGAGGGTGAGAGCGTGCCCTTTGTGCTTTCATGTTACATCCCACAAAAGTAAATGATACCTCAATCCCTCGTTTGACATGAATTTTGGCCTCTTCCTACTCCAACTCGCACACCAGCTTAATGCTTCCAGGATCAACCCTGTGGATGAATGAAATTTGTGCAAAATATTTTATCACAACCGCTAATCAGAAGCTTCTTTGCTTCATTGAAACATTATCAGGCTTATCATGATAGAATCAATAATTTATAAGTTGCCTGAATTTATAACCTTACTACATGAGTTGGAAAAAATATAAGGTGAGAAGAAAGGACCTACCCAATGAGAACTAAATTTGAACTCTATCTTATACACTAAAAGGTCATTTAGCAGTTCCCTTCATTAAGCTTCTTTAAGCTCTTGCTTTAGTAGAGCTTTGAAATATTGTCATTTTAATTTTTAAGCCCTTAAAAATTCAGTTTTCTCTAATAAGTTAACAGAATACATTAGTATGTAAGTTGATGAGTCGTTTTCTTCCATTATTATATTATTGAAATTAAAATTATGTCAATGGTGGCTCCTAATAATTGAGGTCCTACATAAATGATTTCGTAACAGTAGCAAGATAAGCATAAAGAAACAGCACAAGTTATGTTCAGCGCCTCCACATATCACAGCCGACCCACCACCACCACCACAAAAAAAATAAATAAATAAATAAATAAAAATAAAAACCCAGTCCCTATCCACTGCAAAAAAATGTAATAGTAATATAAGTTTAAAAGACTAATCTCCAAACACATCTTGCAGTAATGATTATAATGATTCAAATGAACCTAATTCACAAAGTATATCCCCTTGCACCGTCATACTAAGCTTCAATGCCAGGAGAGAACAGATTCTTAAAACCAAAAAAAAGGGCTAAATGAACCTCTCCACATTTAAATTTGATTCTCCTTAGAGACCTAAAGTAAAGGGCTTCGAAAATTCTTCTTCCGTCTCAAACTGGAAAACGTCAAGACTAAAAAGATCTAACTGTACATTCCCAAAAAAAAAAAAAAAAATGATCCAACTATTTGGTGCCCAAAGTAATCCAAATGCACAACTCCGAATACGCCATGAACACCATATTGAGAGCACTACGTAACTTTCTCATCACCAAAATCCCCTTCTTCAAAGTGCAGAATTTCCTTCAGGAATTTCATTCTAAAGGAATCAAAAATTAAAAAAGCACCAAAATTTGCATTGGAAATTAAACCATCGCACTGAATTGTCATCGGCATTAAGAACAAAATGACACAACCGACAGAAATTCTGGACGAAATTTGGAGCATTTTTAAATTCTACGCATTACCTAAATGGGGACCCAATACTACTAGATCACTGACTTGAGCCCGTCCAAACCTGCCACAACCAAATTCATTCAGAATTCCCATCCGCACAATTCTAACCTAAATCCAAAAGCCCTCTAAAAAAACGTTTCGCCAAACAAGAAACAAAAAAAAAAAAAAAAAAAAAAAAAAAAAAAAAACCGGGACTTAGTCAGTAAACCTAATAGCACTAACACCCGAAGAACATCGAATATTTCAAGATCCAAAAAAAGAATGATGCTTTGAAATTATAATGATTGAAACAATCAATTCGAAATCAAACAAAAAAGAATCGAAAGAAAACTTCAAGTTTGTATTGGAATTTCATATTTGCCATAGGATCTGCTCAGAACAGAAGAAGCCAAATGCGGTGTTCTGTTATACACACACACACATATAGATATATATAAATATATAGATATATATAAATATATATATATATATAGAGAGAGAGAGAGAGAGAGAGAGAGACCGTCGGATTGTGATCGGCGGCGATAAGCAGTGAAGATCGGAGGTCAACGGAGAGAGGCAGAGATCGCGTGGAGAGTAAACGGCGAGAAAGTAATTGAGGATAAGGGTTCAGAGGTACCCACCGGACAAATGGAGCGGATGAAGAAACATACAAAAGGGCAGTTTTGGTGATATAATGAAAATGGTGAGGGCATTTATGTCTGATAAGATCTATACAGTTAAATGTGTGTGAAATGAACGGACAAAGAAGTGAGGAAGACGTCATTTATTTTGGATTGAGGCTGCAATCCAATTTCAACCGTTAAATACGAAAAGAAAAATTGATTTGAACCCTTGACATTTGTTCAATTAAAAGTTGATGAATTTTATTTCTGAGGATGAAATTATTTTCCTTCTTATCATTATTAGTTGCTGAAATTTAAACTTCATGTTAATATTAGAGTCTGTTTAGTTCATAGATTAGAACTATTTTTAATTTATATATATTTTTTGTAAGAAAAAATACTGTAACGAATCACGAATCATGATTCGAATTAGGGAATGAATCAAAATTTTTGTGAGGGTGGAATAAGAGCCCGTTTAGTTGGAGGATTCGTTCTCTGATTCGAATCATGATTCATGGTTCACTACAGTATTTTTTCTCACAAAAAATACACGTAAATAAAAAATGATTTTAATTTCGTGATTCTAATCCATGAACGAAACGGGTTCTAAATCTTGAAAAAAAAAACACCCTGCTCATCCTTTTTTACAGAAAAACCAATGCCCTGCTTCGATCCACGTTTTTTTTTTCTTTTTACATTTTCCCATATATGTCATCATATTTTTCAAAGAAGTTTTCCCTTCATTTTTTTTCATAATTTTAACAATTTTCTGAAAACTTTTTTCATCTTACCTGAACTAGCATAGCTGGATTTTTATTTATCAATAATTGTGACAATTAGTATCCACTAAATTAAATATGTTTTAGTACATCACTATTCACAAAGGGATATTTTATGGGGAAAAAATGGATAAAAGAAGGCTACATTACGCGCATGTACAAAAATGATTGACAGAGAAGAGAAAGAGAAAGAGAAAGGAAGAGTACTCAATAATATTAATAGGATTTTAAGGCGCACATGCTATTCATAAATCATAAAATCATGAGTGTTTTAGTATGATGATTCGTGTCATGGTTCGAATTATGGTTCGTGACTCGTTATAATGTTTTCTCTCATAAAAAATATATATAAATCGAGAATAATTTTAAATCATAGTTCTGAATCCGTTAACCAAACGTCCACTTAATCATTTGATGCAATATTAAATGAAGTAATTGCCAAAAGCATATGCGGAGAAAAAGAAAGTCCAACTACTCACCATTCCTTTGAGCTGCGTGACCGCTTGTAGACTTGTACGGTACAACACCTAAGCAAATATGAAGATCACATGATAACATGTTCTAAAGCAAAGGAAGATACAAATACGTTGAAAATAAAAGAGAAAGAAAGACTAAAAAATAAATAGTTGCACCATTAATTTAGTTCAAATTTTTGGACCCCTAAATAACATTCTGGTTTTGCCACGATTATAGGAGCATATAATATTGTTCAATAACTTCAATCACTATGCATTAGGTGTTAGGTCCGGTTTAGAATAGTTTGTGCTTATGTTTTTAATCAGTAGAAGAAAATAAGCATAAGTTGAGACTTTTTTATTAGTATTTAGATAGTATCTGAAAAAATATTTTTATATCTAAGAAGAACTTTTGAACCTATCTGGATAAAAAATCAAAAGCATTTATTGTTATAAAAAATAATGTAATAAAAGGATATAGATTGGATATTTAATTTGTTGTTCACAAATAAAAAGTTAAAAATGTAAATAAAATTTTTTTATAAGCACTAAAGAGATGATTTATTTAAAAAGTGCTTAAAAAATCAAAAAACACTTTAAAATTGTTCATCTAAATAAATTCAAAAACGGCTTTTAGACTAAATATTAAATAAGCCAAAAATAACTTTTTTAAAGTCAATCTAAACAAAAATTATTGTATTATTATTACTTTTGACTAAGTTTACTTTTTCTAATGTAATCCATTAATAAATTCAGATGAGATGCCCTTTATCAGTTCATGATTATCGTTCTATGTTTTAATAAAATAGAGGAGGAATTTTTTCCTCAAAATAACTTCAAATATGAAAATTAGGGCAAAGAGAGAGGGTTTAAGGGAGGCTTTGAGTGCTCCGTTTTTTTTTTGGTCAATTTAAAAACTTGATTGAAAATACCAACGGAGTCAAGATGGCCGAGTTGGTCTAAGGCGCCAGTTTCAGGTACTGGTCCGAAAGGGCATGGGTTCGAATCCCATTCTTGACAATTCTATTTTATTTATTTATTTGATTAAATCGTGTGTGGAAGAGGATATGTTAGGACTTAGGATATTCTCTAAAAAAATTATGTTTGGATTTTTTAAATCAACAGAAGGAATAATTGATAATAAGAATGACAATCATAAATATAATAGTATGATATATTAGTAAAGTGAAATAAATAATAAAACAAAATTTATAATAAATAATTAAGGATTCATATAGTGTTCTTTTTTCCCGATCTTTTTCTTTTCTTTTTTTTTTTCTGAGAGGGTATGATTAAAGGCTAAGTTGAAATAAAGTTATTCACTTACAAGAATAAAAAGTTAAGTTGCATATGTTCAATAGTTATAACAGTAAGCAAGTGATTTTTTTTTGAGTCCTTTTTTTTTCAATAGGAAAAAGAAAAAAAAAATCAAGTATGCCACAAGAGACGTTTAGAAAGATAATATTAAATAGTCAATTGTTTAATAGAAAAAATAAACATTAGGAATTTATATTGACAAAGAAATCTTAGGCCTTGTTTCGTTTGTTGTTTGGATTGTGTGATTTAGTTTGAATTGCTATTGGAACCAGTATTTAGATAGACAAATAAATTGTAATTTGAATTAGTAATAAAATCCAAACTATATGTAGATAAAGTGTTGAAAATTGTCATTAGAATTCTGTTACAAAATCTTATAAAACCTCATTGTAAATAACATTAAAAAAATATGCAATATGTATAAAGATTTATTCTTCTTTTCATTACGAACACATTAGAAAAAAATTATTTTAATCAAAATTGAAACGAAAAAATTATGATGTTTTTAAGCTTGAAGCTCAAGAGGGAGAAAAAGTAAAATCTGAATAATTTCCCTGTATAAAACTTGGATTGTGTGAATTTAGGAGGTCAACTCTAAAATCAAGGATTTGTACTATTGTTAATAGTTTTAGTTGTGCTTTTATTCTGTCCCAAACATCAATTTGAATCTCAAACTATAATTTGAATTGAAGTTTTTGGTTTTAAACCTCGAAACAAACATGGCTTAAACACTAGTCATTGACTTCTTATGTTATGATATTTATAAAGTAATTAAACATTTTTAGAATTAAACCCGAGGCCTTAGAAATAGGATTTTTCATAAAGAAAAAACTAATTAATAAGATTAGCTTCAACATTTTTAGATGCAAGGGTAATTAGTTATTGATTCCCCGATAACAAGGGAACTTTGAGGTGTAAAGATAATTAAGTTGAGGATTTTCTAATAATGGCGGATAAGGCCCTTGAATTTAATGTCGCCATTAAGGCACCGTTAAGCCGGCATGGTCAAAATGGATATTAAATATAGCTGGATTATTTCTTTTTAAAGCGATTGGTTAAGCGAGTGACAACCTTACTCCTTCTGTATTAAGCCTACTTAATAACAAAGACAAAGATAAGAAGTTCTTCTTTATCAATATTTGCAGAGAAGAAAAACATTCTTTAGCTGAAGATTATTGGGAAAAAGAAGAATCATATCCCTTTGTTGTTTGGTAAGATGACGATTTTCTTTCTTTGGGTTCATTTGGTACGAGGATTTAAACGAAGGTGATTTTAATCATGATTTTTGAATTAGAATGATGATTCATAATTTTGGGTTCAAATCATAATTTTGAAACTATGATTCAGAATCAGGTGTTTAAATCATCTTAATTCAAGAGGGAGGTGGTTTTAGAATCATGATTTGAGCTAGTTTAAAACATCACATCAGATTCTGAATCATGATTCAGAATTATCCAAACTAAACACTGATTCTGAATCATGATTCAAAATCACTGTAAACAAACAATGATTCTGAATCATGATACATAATCATAATTCTGAATCCATCCACTAACGCACCATTTAATATCATCGTACTTTTATTTTGTTAAGGCACTAGTACTGTCGTTTTCTACTAACTTTCTCTTTTCATGCCTCCCTTTTTAATGCGTGTTTTTTACGTTACCTTTGATTCCATGTTGAAAAGTACGTCGACGTCTCTTATTGCCCCTTTTCCATGGTCTTCTTATTTATTTTAATTTATTATTTTTCTTTTGGAGTTCGTTGCTTTTGAAATATTTTAAAAAATAGGTGATGATGTCGGCCTTGAATTATTAGCATTGTGAGAACTGATTTCTAAAATTATTTTAGCTCTTTAGTCTCTAAATTTTGTTTTGGACAGACAGTTTTGATGTATGACCATAAGATTCATTTTAAAATTTAATATTAGAAGTAATGACATATAAATAACTCTAAATATTACAAAATATTCACATTATAAGGTGCAAAATTCCGTCTTCAATGTCCTAAAAATCTTTAAAATTCGAAAATTTTGCAGTTTGCACAACATTCATCGTCATAATTATATATAAAAAAAAAATATAAACAATAAAGTCTAATAAAACTTTCCCTTTTGAAAAGCTCAGAACATGGCGCCAAAAACCCTAAAAAGTAAAGTGGAAGTATTTATAGCATATACAGTGCCATTAATAATCTCATTTAAAAAAAAAGAGTGTCATTAATAATCATTATGTAATTTTGCCCTTATCTGTTCACCTGAATTCAATGAGGTAGTGTAGGGCTTATCCTGAACCAAAACCGAATGTTAGAAAAAAAAAAATGATATAATTGTGCGTCATTAGTGTTAAAATATAAGTTTGGAAAGAAATCTCTAAAAAAAAAAAAAGATGAAGACGAAGAAGACATTTAAGAAGATAAATAGTCATTAATTTATTAAAATCATATTTCATTTTGAGTAGTAGAGTTCAAAAGTAAATATGTTCGAAATGTGGTGGTTTGAATTTTTCTTTTTTTTTTTTAAATGAAAAGTTAAAAAAATTGTGGTTTAACTTTTATGAAAACAAAGGGTAAGATTTTTGAGATCTTTTTGATATTAAATCAAATCTTAAAAATATTTGCCAAGATTTGAACTATTTGTTTCAAATTAAAGTTGAACTTGTTTACCAAACGGACTGATTTTTGTTTTAGAAAAACGTAATTAATTCTATTAAATCCATCATTTTAAGGTTTTCTTTGGTTAATTAGTTAGAGTATTCCTTTTAATTAGCGACTTTGGCTCAAGAGGCGATCTTGTGGCTCCCACATTTGTGTAATTTATTCATTTTTATTTATTTATTTCAATTGTCAGACCACTTGTATGGAAATTCCAAACTATTAAGGAAGGAAAGAAATAGGGATTATGATTTGATCTCATCCCATAATTTTTTTTTTTTAGTATAATCTCATCCCATAATTAATTTCCCTGTTCTCTTTTTTTTTTTTTCCCGGCTGAAAATTACCCTGTTATCTAATTGACACTAATTTCTCTCTCAGTCTATATATCTATATATAAAACCTATACGTAAAAAGCCACAACGCCATTATAGAAAACTTAAGGAATTAAAAAAAAAAAAATCCAACGTCAAGAAAAAGACTCGCATGCAAGAGTAGTTTGACTATACGGGGAAAAAGTTGGAGATTGTTAAGGTAATAGCCTTTTTTTTTTTTTTTTTTTTTTTTTTTTTCTAGAGATGTTTTCATGAGTGTTGAAACTGGGTTCGTGTTGATTCTCAAAAATAAATCAAAACAGAAACACAAATAAAGGATGGTTAAGCATTATTCTTCGATGACTTCAATATAGAAATGAGTGCAAAATAACCCCATTGTCTTTGTTTTTTTTTTTTGTCCTTTCTTTCTCTTCATTCAATCAGTTGTTATTGTTGCTGTTGCTACTATTGGTTCCTTTTTCGTAGAAAGGTTTTTCTCTTTGCTTGATCAATCTCGTTCTAATTTATCCTCTCTTATTGCGAAAAAATTTCCTTCTTTTTGTGTTCCTCCTTCTTTGGTTTAGTTATAACAAGGTATAAATCACAGTTGATAGCAAATGGCTCTGTTTTGGCTAACAATTTCAATATAAATTAAATATGAAATCTGACTTGTGTGATAAAATTAACTTTTGCACCATATTATCTGTTGTGGCTATCAATGGCTCTTGCTTTTCGTCAATGATTGTTTGTAGAAAACTCTCTCGTTCTATTCCGTTGTCTGATAAGATAGAATCTTATGATAATTTAGAAATGTTTAACATCGTACCAAATATTTGTCAAATGTTTTAAGGATTGTTCAAGCTATAAGAGCATCTGATTCTTTCAATTATAGTTTCAAGTACATTAATTTGATGGCCTTAAAATTTCCTACAGAGTCTTCTAGGAAATTCGAATTTGCGCATTTTACGTAGTCAGTGAAGCTTTTCTTTGCCGATTTGCGTGGAATGGAGGGTGGTGTTCACGGCACAGAAAAGGCAGAATTCACAGAATGCTGGAGAACAACATGGAAGAGGCCATACATTATGCGGCTTGCAATGTCCGCCGGCATCGGAGGCCTTCTCTTCGGATATGACACAGGTAATTAACATGCTGCTGAGAAAACTTCCTTCTTGTATTATGAAAATCATTACGGCAGAGAGGAAATATGTAGCGCAAGTTTATAACTGGGCTTATAATCCATATTAGTGAATATTCTTCCATGCTAAGAAGCAGCCTAAAAGGAAATAAAATTTATTCTATATTAGCCACAAGATGTGAGTGATGAAAACTCAATATTTCCGGTTGTGCAGGTGTGATTTCCGGGGCGTTGCTTTACATTCGTGAGGATTTTGCAGAAGTTGACAAGAAAACATGGCTGCAGGTGAGCTTCCAACAAAGTGGATTGCCTTTTCCATGTGGATACTAATGTAAAACAATGTGTGTAATCTTTTAACCTGTTGTTTGATCATTGATATCTTCAGGAAACCATAGTGAGTATGGCTGTTGCCGGTGCTATAATTGGTGCTGCAATTGGTGGGTGGATAAATGATGCCTTTGGCAGGAAAAAGTCAATACTATGTGCAGATATAGTGTTCTTCGTTGGTGCAATAGTCATGGCAATATCTCCGGCTCCTTGGGTGATTATAGTCGGAAGAATATTAGTCGGTCTTGGAGTAGGAATGGCTTCCATGACCTCTCCACTTTATATCTCGGAAGCTTCTCCTGCTAAAATCAGAGGAGCCCTTGTTAGCACAAACGGTTTGCTTATTACAGGAGGACAATTTTTGTCATACCTCATCAATCTGGCTTTTACTAGAGTAATTACATCTAAACTTGTGATAGTCCTCAGCTCTTCAGTTTTAATTTTTTTTTTTTTTTCTCTTTTGAACTTTTTTAAGTTCCAAAAGGTGTTGAACAAATTTTTCTCATTTTGAAATTGATCTTTTTCAGGCTCCTGGAACATGGCGTTGGATGCTTGGTGTGGCAGGAATTCCAGCTTTGGTTCAGTTCGTTTTGATGTTGTCACTTCCAGAGTCACCCAGATGGCTCTACAGAAAGGTAAATTATGTAATCATCTATAGAATTCTTTGAAGTTTGCTAACTTAGCTCACAAATATTTTTCTGTAACATTACAAATATGATTCTGTAATATGGTTGTAAATGGTTATGAAATTAGAGTTTTAAAAAGGATCTCTTATTCTCTATCTAACAAATGAAACTATAAGAGGTCTTCCAGTTATGTAGCCTATTGATATGTGCTGTCAAATATTTATTGAATAATTTGATTTGGGAACTATTTATAACAAGTGACTTTAAGATTTTGTATTATGTTAAACTTGATTCTGATATGGATATCTCTCTTAATCAGAACAAGGTAGATGAGGCCAGGGCCATCTTAGAGAAAATCTATCCTGCTAACGAAGTTGAAGACGAATTGAAAGCTTTGCATGAATCCGTCGAAGCTGAGAAGGCTGAAGAAGGAGAAATTGGGGAGGGATTTATCACAAAATTGAAGGGTGCTCTGAAAAACCGTGTGGTCCGAAGAGGACTCTACGCAGGCGTCACTGTCCAAGTGGCGCAGCAATTTGTTGGCATAAACACTGTCATGTACTACAGCCCAACGATCGTTCAGTTTGCAGGGTTCGCCTCCAAGCAGACAGCTCTAGCACTTTCTCTCATCACTTCTGGTCTCAATGTTGTTGGAACCATTATAAGTATGTGTCTAGTGGACAGATATGGAAGGAGGAGGCTGATGATTGTATCCCTCTTTGGGATCATTGTTTGCCTTTTGGCCTTATCCGGGGTCTTTTTCCAGGCTGCTAGCCATGCTCCAGCTATTGGAAGCTTTGAGTCCTCGCACTTTGGAGGGAACTCCACTTGTGCCGATTACCTCTCGGCCCCAAATGCTCAGTCATGGAACTGCATGACATGTTTGAAAGCGGAGTGCGGTTTCTGTTCTAGCCAAGGAAGTGAAGTACGCCAATTGCTGACTCTAAGCCACTTTATAGCCTAGAACTTCATCAGTGTAATATTTGTGAAGATGGTTTTTCTTATTTTAATTTTTGTTTCTTGTGAAACAGTTTAAGCCAGGAGCTTGTTTGGTTACTGAGAGTGGTGTGAGGAGCGCATGTCGCGGAGAAAGTCGGGTATGGTACACTGAAGGTTGTCCCAGCAAAGTTGGATTCTTTGCAGTTATACTTCTGGGGTTGTACATTATAACATATGCACCTGGAATGGGAACTGTTCCTTGGATTGTGAACTCGGAGATATACCCTTTGAGATACCGAGGGACTGGCGGTGGAATTGCCGCAGTTTCTAACTGGACAGCCAATCTCTTGGTGAGTGAGACGTTCTTGACACTCACCAAGGCTTTGGGCTCTGCCTGGACTTTTCTGCTGTTTGCTGGATTCTCTTTGGTTGGACTTGTGGCCATCTATTTCCTAGTGCCTGAAACCAAGGGATTGCCATTTGAGGAGGTTGAGAAATTGCTCGAGCGTGGGTTTAAACCCAAGGCACTTCGTTCCAAGAACGAGAAAAACGGCAAGAGTCAAGCGTCCTCTTAAGGTGTTCAGAACATTCCTGTATTATGAACTGTTTCACCTAGTTAAGGAGCTTTGTTCAGAACTTCAGAGTTTTCTAACGATAAGCTCTTGTTTAAAGTTTATTATTATGAATGAAGCTACTAATATATCTTTAGTTATATGTTTGTTTAGTTTTGTCACTCATTGAACTTTTTCAGAAGTATTCAGACTATGAAGTTTTGTGCATGCTTTAGTGCACTAGGACTAATTTGGAAAACAAGTGAACTTATATTAGTAGCTTATAACGCTTAAGTTCTTGAACATTTATTTGTGACCTTCATCTAACTTTTCCAAAATATCATATTCTGTTGAGCACTTTTTTTTTTTTTTTGGCTGGTTTAAAAAGGGATCGTTGGTGTACTCATGTATCCATTCCAATGCCTATAAAAAAGAATCAAGTGCTTCCATCAGTGCAATAATCAAGGGCTCAAACCTATTCATCATCCGTTCACAATCCAGATTTTGCCAGTCCACCACTAGTCTTTTATACCCACCAGTGGCGGAGCCACTTGAAGATGAGCAGGGGCAGCCGCACCCACTTAAATTTTTTTTTTTAAAATATTACCTTTAAAAATTTTAAAATTTTACACTTAAGCCTCCACTGAAATAATATATGCCCCCACTAAAATAAATATATTTTCTTATATCACTAAGATAATTTGTTAAAAAAAAATTTAGTGTACGCCCACTGAAGTGAAAGGCTGGCTCCGCCACTGATACCCACTATAAATTAGCATTGCTACTTCTAAGGTTGGAACTCTAAATGTGATTAAAATTTGAGCTGTGAATAAGGAAGTAGGCATCCGTGTCCACTACCACTGATGGTGATTCTGCTGAGCACTTGCGTGGTTGAATCAACACTCAAAATCTCACGACCAAATTGTGCTGCCAAAGCCTCGTTAATCTCCTAGTCAAGCATTGAATGATGAGTTTGAGCAAAATGCTTTCTTTTTTCTTTTCTTTTTTTAAAAAAAAAAAAAAACGACTGTTCAATTTCTAATACAACAGTTTAAAAGTGGTTGGCTTGAATAATCTCTGCCAAGAGTTGAGCAACAGTGGCTTTGCTTCATGGAGGTCCACTGACAGGGAATTAAGGATCGAATTCAAAACAAAAAGGCAAATAACTGCTAAGTACTCTCATGAAAATTGCAGGCCACCGATCACTGATTACAACTGACAAGAACACCACTATCATTAAACCTTAACATGAGTGGTTGTCTTCCATAGCAAGAAGTCCTCTAGGGGAATGCTGTGACCAATCTTGACAATTTACCAACTAAGCCAAGCATCTACGTTGTTCCAAAGTCCCCATGTACCCTCACCTAGTCTAGGCCCTTGTTAGAAGAGTCTATTATAATTTCTCAAGCATTCTTCGATAAATTTCTAGGGTTCGTTCTTCGTCCTTCCAAATGATCAGTCCTACATGTGTCATATGTGTAAAAATTACGATGTAACCGATGTTTGTTTCATGTATTCGTCTATGATTATGAATCATGATTCATGTTTCTCTACAGTGTTCTTCTCTTACAAAAAACACATGTAAAATGAGAATAGTTCTGAATCCATAAACAAAACGGCCACTTATTTACTTTTTTATTTAGCGCGCCTTTATAAATGTGTAACAAATGGTATAGGACAAATGAAGTTAAGTTCATCGTTCATTGAATACAATTTTTTGTTACATCTCAATTTTATATTTCACATGATTAGTTCTGAGAACCAAAATTTCATTGAAGAGAAAAGATGTTGAATTCCTTTATGAGGGAAGTAACAGAGGAACAAGAAAATTAGCTGTTATAAAATCTGCCTAATTCTTTTCAAGGACTCATGGGGTATAGGATCTTTTATTTATTTATTTATTTTCCTTTATATTATGAAGCCAGAGGACTGTAAACTATTGATTCTTGGAATTAATGGTTCCTCTCGAACAATTGACCAGTAATTTCCGAAGTTGGCCTATAATTTCATTATGGGACCTGATAAAAATGGTTCGTGGCTGAAACGGAGATAATTAGTTGGTTTTTTCTTTTTGGCTAAGAAAAGATAATTAATTTGTTGTTACGGTCTTTCAGACTTTTTAGTTATATTTCTTTTCTTTTCCTTTTTTTTTTGTGGACAAAAAGATTTTGGATATGCTTCTTTTATTATTATTATTTTTTTTTTTTTTTGTGGACAAAAAGACTTGAGCTATGTTGTGCCTAAAACGGGTGCATTTCATCCAAGGGAAGTTGGCGACCCGAAAAAAAAAAAAAAAAAAAGATTGCTTATAAAGTGCGTGTGGTCATAATTTTCTTTTGGGATAATTAAAACACAACACGTTGATGTAAAAACAATTTCCCGGGTTTGCTTTAAGCACACCTTACACTTTTCACCACCCCCATATACGTGTATAGGACAGTCATTCAGTCAAAAAAATTTCTAAAAAAATGTTATTATTGGATGAATGGCACCGACACCCCCGTCATTCAAAACTACTCCAAATTGCAAAAAGAAGCGATTTTAATTTCTAGATTGCAATCAAAACCAAACAAGCAGAGGGACAAAACAAACCTGCTCTGCCAGCTAATGCATGATGGAGTCACGACAAGGAAAGGGAAACAAACACGCACAAATTGCATACAAGAAATTTTTTTCAAAATCTCGTCTTATGGCCTGTCTGTGGGGTTGGGAAGGATCGGTTGGTGGACTTTGCCAGATCTGTGCATGTACGACAGGTGGAGGTGGTGATGGTAGAAATGACACACCCGTTGAGCTTTATTTTACACCAAAGCCCAACCGGGTTCGCTGGATCTATCATCATTTAATTAAGATGCGACTTTTTTTTAATAACTTTTAATTATAAATAATAAAATTAAAATTAAAAATTGAAATTAAAAACTCAATCAAAAAAACATAATTGCCCCCATTCTTCTCTCCTCATTTTTCACAAAAAAAAACGTAAATTCAAATTCTCGACCCCAGGATTGGAGGTCTTTTGTTAGGCAGCTCAGTAATTATTTTTCTTATCAATGTGAAAAATTAAAAAGAGGAGTCGTGGATGGCTCATCTTTCTTTTTAATGTTAAATAGTCAAAACATCAGATTCAATTGCCTTCATTAAGCTAAGAATAAAGTCTGATTTCCACGTTACTAAAGGAAGCGTAAAGATGGTATGGGCATCAGTCAGCATAGTTCTGTATCACTCACCAACAGGCCAGTCGTCTAAATTACGCTTTTTAAGTACCACCAGGACGGAAAGGATCAGGAAGGGCTTTTAGAACTAGAAGATTTCTAAAACAAAACAAAATAAAATGAGGAATTCCAGTAAAAGAAATCAACTGATGCAGTATATATGTGTACTAGTACATCGATCATCGATGAATTTAACACAAACTGAAGCTACAAGTTAAATCACCAAATGAAAACATGCTCCAAGTAATGGCATGATTTCTTCTATTTTCACTAGGGGAAAAAAGACTAATAAACCTTTTCAACAACATTTGAGTCATCCAAACCCAAATCTGATTAAACCCAAAACCCACAGGGCACACATTGCCACCACTAGAAAATCAAAGTTAACAAAAAAGGGAAAATCGGGGTAGTAAAAAAAAAAAAAAAAAAACCCCAAAACATAGCTAAAAATCATACGTCTAAAAGGTCATATTTTTTGCTCACTAGCTTCCCTCTAGTTTTTCTCCCAGTACATTCATTCTTCCTAGTTCATCAACCACGCTGTACAAACAATTGAAGAAGAAGAAGATGAAAATAGAACCCAAATAACACAAGCCAACCTCCCTATATACACAAACAACCTTCCACACTGTATAAGTTCTTGTCTAAGTAGTAAGTTTTTAACTCTGTTTCAGTTTTAAGGACTCGAAGATGAAGCTTCTTGTCTCGGTTCTCTCAAGTACGCAAGAAGCGTTTCAGCCTGAAAAAAGAATCAATCTTAACTCCATTAAAATCAATCCTATGACATTGGAATCTAATCTAATATGCAAATCAATCCAAGATTAGCGCACACAATTGAAAAAAATCCAAGTTCATACTAGCATAATCAGACTTAACTTGAATCAATTGAATCAGTAATCAGTAATCAAAGTATGAAACTGACCTTGTGCTTAGCTCTCATGCTTCCAGTTTGAGAAAGCGCGACCAAAGGAGGAATCCCACCCTCCCTGACCAGCAACCCTCTGTTCCTGACGCTGTCGGCGCAGAGCTGAAGCAGCGTCAACACCGCGAACTCTTCCCCCTTCACCGAGCCATCCTCGATCGCCTCAACAAGGGCGGCGATCCCCCCCTCCTCCACTATGGCTTCCCTCCCTTCCGGAATCCCCGCCAAGCTGCTCAACACCACCATCGCCTTCTCCGCCAGGCCCGTCCCCTGCTCCGCCACCAGCTCCACTAGCGGCTTCACCGCGCCGGCACTCACCGCCCTCTCCTTGTTCTGCTTCACTGAGCAGAGCTTGTACAGCGTCGTTAGAGCATCTTTCTTCCCCCTTGTCGATCCGTTCAGTAGGAGAGACACCAGAGGCGGAATTGCTCCGCATGCTCCAATGGAGCTCTTGTTCTCCTCGATTAGCGCCAGGCTGAGAAGCGCGCACGCCGCGTTCTGCTTCGAAGTCTCCGTCCCTGTCTTCAGCACGTATACCAGCGATTTTATGGCTCCGGAGTGAGTAATTAGGGATTTGTTACCTTCGTGAAGAGAGAGGTTGAGCAAGGCCGTGACGGCGTGCTCTTGCGTCCAGGGATCGCTACACCGGAGGAGAGGAATCAAAGCAGGGACGGCACCGGACTCCCCAATCAACGCGCGATTGTCGGAGCGATTCTTCGCGAGGAGCCTAAGCTTCGCCGCCGCCGATCGTTTGACGGCGATCGAAGACGAATGAAGTCCGTCAACGCAGATCTTGACCGTCGGCTGCAGATCTTCCGGCGAAATACTCTCGATTATCTCGGTGGAGAAGCTCTCCCTCTGGAGAAACCCTAGGCAAGGCTCGGGCTCCGGAAAAGAATCTTCCGCCGTTTCCTCGCTCTTCGGAGCGTTCTCCGGCGACGGCAAGCACGCGAGCCTCTGCAACTCGCCGGAGATGTCACTGCTGCAGGCGGAGAAGTCACTGAAGGCCTGAGAAAGCTCGAGAAACTCCTCTTCCGTGGAAGTCGACTTAACAGCCTTGATAGTGCGAGAGGCGAGCTCGCCGAGCCTCATGTCCATGACCGATTCCGTCAAGTTCTCGGACACGAATCCCGAGGCTTGAGTGGTGGAGCAGCTGTGATCATCTTGGAAGAAGTTGGAGCGAATGGTTCGCATCGACCGGCCGGTGTGTCTGCTAATTCTGGACGGCGAGTTCGCCGCCGTGTAGTAGTTTCGGGTCAGAGGGAACCGGGTCGAACCCGAATGCGAATCTTCCAGAGACACCATTGTAGAGACAACAACCCAAATTTTAGAGCTTTCAGATTTTTTTCAGTTGTTATTAATGTCTGGAAGTTTACGTTTGGAGTTTTCTAATAAAATCTCATGGTGGAAGTACGGGAGAAAAGGAAGCCAGAGGTTGAAGAAGAAGATGAGCTAGTGGATTGAGGATTTAAAATTCTGGTTTTCATTTTTTGTTTTCTTTTTTTTTTTTTTTTTGGTATCTAGGCAAGGGATAGAGTGACAGGGTGGGTGGGACTCTCTTCGATGACAGTCGAAATAAATATAACACATGGTGTGCTCAGGTCCTGTCAAGTGGGGGCCACACACCACAATGGGACGTTCATTCGTGGGAGATCGACGCTCAGAAGACACGATGTTCACTCGGGAATCGACGGCAATAGAATTGATTGATGCGACTGTGATCACAGCACTGTGCGGTGATCTGATTTTTCTGACTGCTGTCCTTGGCGGGACCGTCGGCACCATACTAAACGCCGTCGTTTCATCAGTTTTTGCGAATTCTTCGGCTTAAATTTACAGGAATGTCCTCGTTAAATTCTATAAGGATTAATGACGTCTCGGGTTCTTAACTTTTAAAATCGTGACGTTGTTTTTATAAATATTATTGTTACGGTAATAAATTTTAAAAAATAATTACATTTAATTTTTTTATTAGAGTAAAAAATTTTCATATAAAATTATATTTTAATTTAAATTAAAAATTTGAATTATAAAATTAAACGGATCATTTATAAAAGTTAACGTTACAAATAATGTTTTTTTACAATTTTAAGTTTCGTTTGTTTCGTTATTTTAAATTATAATTTAAATTTTTATTACAGTATTTTTTTTATAAAAATTTAAATTTAATATTTTATGTTATATTATTTTCTCTCACATAAATTTATTTTTTAACTCAAATTAAAAATTTAAATTAATAAAAATAATAAGGCCTTAGTTTACAAAGTTCACAAATATATTGTCAAGTTATGCCATGTTTATTTTACCGATTTGAGTTTTAGTACAGTAAAAAATTCTAAAAAATAATTATATCTAACTTTTTTATTATAATATAAAACTCTCAAATAAAATCAAATCTCGAATCAGCGAACTAAACGAACCCTATTGTATTGCTAATATGGTACTGAAAATTTTCTTTCTGCCAACATAAAAGTTTCCTCTTTTTATTCATGATCTTTTATAAAAAAAAATTAAGTCAAAAACCTTTGTAAAAAAAATTTAACCGTGGTAGTTGTCTAGTTGTTAACTTGCATCATAGTTTCAATAAAAAAATGTCACTTGCATTCAATATCATCGTCTCGTCTCCTCAAGAGCAAAAGAGGTAAAATAAGCTTAGAAAAAGAAAAGAGAAAATTTCATGTTTAATTATTGTTTTTTACAATTATATATTATTTATGACATTCAAAAACTTTCATACCACTTTTTTTTTCCTCTCTATCTCTCTCCTCCCTTGTCTGTTTGTTTCTCTATCTTCCTCAATTTTCTCTCTCCAGATCTCTCTCTCTTTGCTTGTCGCCGTCTCCATCGCGAACTACTTCTTCTCTGGCTGAACTTCATCCAAGCGCCGTCGTGTTATACTTCTTTTCCGGCCAAAATCCACCCAAACGTCTTCACGAACTACTCTTTCTCGAGATCTCCTTGTGAACCCAGAGAGCAAGATGAGATTTCCTTTTGAGAATGGCTCGCATCAGAGGGATCGCGTGAGAGGGATTTGTTTGGGTGGGATACTTTGGTTGCCCATGTTCAGAAAATTAAAGGGCGTTTATAGAGATGTCAATGGTTCTCGTGTTGTTTTAGAGCCGTTTAGTTAGTCATTCTCTATTCGAATCATAATTCATAATTTGTCATAATTTTTTTCATAAAAAATACACATAAATAAAAAATAATTATAATATCATAATTTTATTTTTTTTCATAAAAAATACACATAAATAAAAAATAATTTTAATATCATAATTTTAATTCATGAACAAAATTAACTCTTAATAAAGTAAATATATATTTTTTTAATTACACCTTAAAAACAATGATTTTGAGCAATTTTCCATTCACTACCACATAATGTTTCGCTTTTAAACCTTACAAATAATATTCATACTTGTTTAAGTAAATTCAATTTTGGTCTCAAAAGAACAGTGACTATCTCACTTTACATTTTACAATTCAAAATGACATAAAATTTTCTTTTAAATTTGTAATAAGTTTCAAATTCGACACTTTCCTCCTTGAGATGTTAATTTTTAATAATTTTAATCATGCGTCTCACATGACTGCTTGATAAAAAGAATATAGAACAAATTTAAACAAAATGTAGTTTAAATTAAAGAAAAAATTTCTTAAAAAAATCACAAATGCTTCCATACTCTAACCCAAGGAGTCGCTTCATTCTTTCCTCCTAATCCCGCATCGTCATCGTTATCACCCTCTTATATATATTACATTTCACCGACTAGTCACGTGACTTATATATGATTAAATTTGTATATATGATTAAATTTGTTAAAAAAATTCACGCTTCATTGAAGGTAGTATCATGTTTTAACCAACAATAAGTTCAGTGAAGTGTTGTGTCATTTTAAACTCGTTTATTTTACTAATTTAAATTATAATTTAAACTTTTATTATAGTATTTTTTTATATAAATGTACTATTTAAATCAATTTCTTAACCTGAATAAGTAAAAGAAACGAGACCTTTAAGTCGGGGCCAAAGTGACAACGTTTAGTCTCTTTGTGGGCCAAATTTAATAATACCTTTTTTCGGTCTTTTTTGGCTGGATTTTTATTTTGTTTTATTTTCGTCTTTTTCAACTTCCAATAGCTCAGCCTTTTATAATAAAATAAGAAAAAAGAATAAGACTGGGAGAATGACGTGGTAAGATTCTGTGTTGGTGATTCCGACAAGAATCAGTTACAACTGTAAATATCTGGACTGATCGCCACGTGTTCCTGCAAGTTCACGCTTGTACTTTTACTCCGTTACGGGGTTTTGATCGTTGGATCCTGATCCAACGGTAAGAAGGGCTTGAGAAATGACCCCTTGTTTTTTTTTTTTTTTAATAGAGCTTGAGAAATGAGCCTTGTCAAATAGTTTTACTTTTATCCGTGAGCAGTATGCGTCTAGAATCATTACTACTTAACACCTCAACCACACGTGGCTTCACAAACAATCTGACCACACGTGCTTGGCTAACAGAGAACCAAACACACCTCGTACTAATTACACTTTTTTTTTATTTTTTGTGATCGTACTAATTTCACTTAAATAAGTACTTTTAAAAAGAAGGAAAAAAAAAAAACAAACCGCGTGCTATGACTTTATCGAGAATAATAATATAAGAGATTTTTTATATGCTCAAACCTCTCGTTCTTTTTATCGATTTAAATTTTTAATTTTAAATTTTTATAGTAAAAATTTTTAAAAAAATATTACATTTAATTTTTTTTATTTTAATAAAAAATTTTTAAAAAATATCTCATCTCAATTTAAATTAAAAATTTGAATCTATAAAGTAAACGAGATTTTAATTTATCAATTTTCTTAATTGTTAAATCTGTATATTTTTTAATTTTTATGTGATTTAATATAAATTTAACGTATAAAAAACTTCATTTACTGATATGTTGACGTACCAGAAAATGTCTCTAATAATAAACAATAAAGTATAGAAAAATTACAAAGTTGATGATTTTAAGACTTAGATCCATGTTTAGTTCGTTGATTCGAATTTTTAATTTGAGTTGAAATGTGACCTTATGTGAGAACGTTTTATTGTAATAAGAAAGTTAGATGTGACTGTTTTTTAAAACTTTTTACTATAGCAAAACTCGAATCGGTGAAATGAAGTCAACTAAATAAATAAACTTCAAAATTTAGCAAAAAAAACTAAATAAATAAACATTTTTTTCCTTGAAAACAAGCAATTTGTTCACCTAATTACCTAAATGGTCTGCCTAATATTTAATTAAATTCTTCACCAGAAAGAACTGAAGCGTCTCATGACTAATGTCTCCCTTGGACTTATCATGCTTAATTTTCTTCGCCAATCACTAAAATTTATTCTTTATAGTTGTTTTAGATTGCCGATTATATGTTGAACTTGCCTAGATAAGCATGCTCTTTCCAGAACCTCTCCTAAATAATACCATGTTTACAAGAAATAATCCCAGATAATCTTTCCTTATTGCATACGTTTTCATTCATATATGAAGATTCACGTACAACCAATGTACATGGCCTTACAAATAATGAGACCATATAATGTGCGTTCATATTATGTATATACTAATTTATAAAGCTTTGTTGTGTTGTCGACAGCATTTTTAAATATTAGTCATATATAATGTTTTATATTTCATATGTGTTTTATTATCCAACAAGCTGAGCTGTTTAGCACCCTAACTTCCTATAATAGTTATATATGCAATCGAAAAAAGATCGAGTTTGTCTTTGTCGAACAGTTTTATGATTGATTATTAGCTATAATTAATAGAGATTGTTCGGTCAATAATATATTGCTTAATTGTAACGAGTATATTAATACGTTGGCGAACCCATTTGGTAAAGAGATTCGTTCTCTATTCGAATTATGATTCGTGGTTCGCTATAGTATTCTCTCACAAAAAATACACGTAAATTAAAAATAGTTCTAATCCATGAACCAAACGGTTTTTACATAAAGTTGTTACGGAACCGTATGTGTACTCGATTATTGGTGCGTTTTTTTTTTTTTTTTTTTTTTCAATTTGTAGTGTTAGAATTTGTTGCACATATTATCTATTTGAGCTCTCTGTTAAAATTTATTAGTGAAACAGTTTGTGACGAGAATTAAGTTTCTTTATTTTTTGAGGTCATTCAAGTCTGAACTAGTGTGTCTACTTTCTTGAGTTAGAACATAATTCATAAGTTCAAATCAATAATTTTAATTTTGAATTTAAATTTTGTGAGAAAACTTATTAATGAGAATTTTTTTTTATTTAAATTTTTTGTGTGAAAGTCTAATCAGGATCATACATTAAAGCCAGTCAACAAAACGTTTCTATGCTTATAATATAACACAACATTTTTTGTGTGTGCATTTTCTACTTTTGTCTTAATTTATTCCACATGTTTCATTAGGAACATGAACCATTGTAAGTTCATGATTGCTTGGTTGAAGTAACTAGTGTTAATCATGATTCATTAATATTCAACGCGTAAGAACGTAATATTTAGTGCA